TACTCGAGAATCCTGATGAGACATAAAAGAGCATTGTGATGCAACGGGGTTTCTTCTTCAGCCGGCTTGTCGCTTGCTTTCCTTTGGATCAGCAGCATGACGCTGGAATCGTGGGTAGAGCTGTTTTGCCAAAGAAATTAGGCCCGCCGCGGAACCGAACCTGTGACCTTCCTCGCCGTGGTCAAGGGCACTAACCTCTCGGCCAGCTCTGCCCCGAGCCGCTAATTACAGATGTAAAATTCTTTGCGCAATTTGGTAAACAGTGCTTTGTACGGCGCGCACATAAGATTATGCTACCAAATTTGGCATGCAAACGGACAATGGTCAAGAGAAACAAAGTGAGAAAAGTTGTGAAAAATCTATGTGATTGAAAGGCGTGGCAAGCTCTTTTCTGAAAAATCCTGCTACCAAAAAATGGAAAATTGACTCGTTTGCAACCCACAGATGACGGTATGGCACGAAATTTGGTGTGTATGTGCGCAGTACCACAAGGCACAAAGTATGAAAAATTATGGAGAGCCTATGCGGTTAGAAAGCGTACCCAATTTTTTTTCCAAATTAAGTGGGCATTTTGCGACTGCAAGTTCACAAAAGTGTTTTTGCCCTCCCGGGGAGGGGGCAAAACTTCCTATTCATATAAGTTTTTCAAATCCTGTATAGAACTGTTTTACACTTAAAGGCACCGTCCACCCAAATTGAGGTTGCTGAGATTATGATACCCAGCAGCTGCGGGGCCAATGACTGTATGATTGCCCAACTCGCGCTGCCTAAAGTTGTTTCCGAAGCGAGAAAATTGCTTCGGAAATCGCTTCAGGTGACGTTCGCTACGTTGGCTCCTCCCCCCTTGGAGTGGGCGTGACGTTCGTTCCGCCCCCTTCAGCGAAAGCTCGAAGCAGACAGCAAGAGTCAGCAATCACCGCACGGTTAGACACACTCTATGCAGGGCGCGCTCACTGACATCTTGTAGGCAAAAATAAGCGTACAAACAAACAACGCAACAACAACGCTTACAAATGTGAGTTATGATGGAATATCACAAAATAAGCAGCACGGAACAAAAAATAGAACGGAAACGGAAAAACAGAAACGGATACACGAGTGCGCTAAACAAGGACGCAGCGCTCCTCTGCGTCCCTACCCTGCCGGCTGCCAGGCGACGTTTACGACGAATTCTGAATGACGTTCAAAACCCAGAATTTTGGAGGTTTCTTTCGATTTTATGCCTGGATTCAGATTCAGCGTGCTCAAGAAGTACGAAAAAGAACAAAAACTCGAAATCGAATTTTTGGGTGGACGGTGCCTTTAAAGTGAACTATATAGTACATTTCAGTTCCAGAACTCCCCCTCTCCTCTTGGCTAAAGTCCGAGATAGCAAACTATTCGCACCCTCAAAGGAAGAAAACGCGCTTCAATCAAATATCCCGCGCATTTGGTGCGGTCAAAGGCAGTATCCAAGCATAAAGTCGATTTTGAGATTTAGTGCTTACCCGGGCCTATTCGCCATGCTGAATTCGGTAAATCACAATGGAGAGAGCGAAAACGCCAAAAAAGGCCCTAACGCAGGAGAGAAATCGCAGATGGGCGAGGCCGTTTACACCATGTCGTCACTCTCCCAGGCTTTAGGAGCGATTTTCTTGGTTCCGATTTTATGTCATGCGTTTCGCAGTTGGCTGGTGGCGATGTTAGGACGACTAGCGAAAGCGAGAAGATTGCTCCTGAAGCTGGGAGAGCGACGCCACTGCGTAAAGAACCCCACCCACCTGCAAATTCCCTCCTTCGTTAGAGAATTTTTTCGCCGTTTTCGCGCTCTCCAGTGTTGATTTTCGGATTCGGCATAGCGAATAGACCCAGGCAAGCACAAAATCTCGAAATCGACTTTTTGCTTGGACAATGTCTTCAAAGGGGAAGTCGTAAAATCAAAGAACAAAATCGCATTTGTTTCACAGCGGTCCATTTGCCACTTTCGTGCCGAGCGCTAACCGTAGTAATCAATTTTTCGAGGTCCCTCGCTCCACACTGTACTCTATGTTGAAGCCAGCTCTACAAAATGGTACCTTAACAGCGGCGAAAGACAATGGAGCAGAAAAGTTACTAACGACAAAACGCTAAGGAACTTTGGGGAACTTTGGGACACCTTGTATGAGCTATTTTCCTGCCCTCATTTCGTTTTCGTAATGAGTTTGCACAGTTAACTTTCATTACCAAATCCCAGCGCTCACCTCAACGTCTGTAAAAGTGGTAGAATCGATAACTCTTCACAGATAACAATCAACAAGTTTGATTCTTCCCGCTCATTTATGAATTACCCATTCACTACTACCTATTACAATTCACTTAGAATCATTGCTCACCCTGGGTACAGCCACCATCAAACCTTGGCTGTTTGTTAATCAAAATCATTTTGCTGGCAAAAGGGGGCATGGGTCCATCTCCATGGATCACATTATTCTATTCTGATAATAATAATCATAGAGCAGTCAAATACAAGCCTCCATCACACTTTTATCCAAATTGGACCCAAACTACGTGATGCCATAGTATTGCGGTTAAAGTATGTCGATCTTTCTTGATGTTTTGACGTTCTTCTTCCTACCATTTCTATTCGAACGTCTTTTTTTCTATTCTACTGGATTTTTTGTTTTTGTAGTCTACACTTAATGCATTATGATTGAAATGGCGCTTATGTGCAATAAATATCAAATATCAAGTATCAAACTCCAATGGTTATTTACCCATATCAATGTTAAGCGTGCTCCTGACCACTTACCAGGACTCGCTTCTCAACTCAAAATATGAAAAAGTTGTGAGACTGACAAAGGTAATCGGTAAAGCTGAAAGAGCAAACCATAGTCATGCTCAGCCTGATCACTCATGCCTTTTTTACCATTCTCGGCTTCTTCACCTCGAAGTTTGCAAAGATTTGGTAACATCGGAGGCACTATTAGTCAGCATGCTCATTCTACTTCCCTCTAAGCTCTGGGCCGTGGTTTGCAACTTGCTGAATATCAGTGCGATATTGAATAGTAATGGAATGTATGATTCAGTTGAGAAAATATTTCTATTAGATCCATGGCTGGGATTTTTGCAGCATTTCTAGAGTCACAGAGTGATTAAAGGGAATGAAGAGATATTACTTTGCTTTTTGTGAAAAAAAACGATGTTTTCCGAGTTTATATCGGGGGTTGATAATGTCTGCAAATCACTTTTTTCAAACTTTAGACAAGTTTACAAAAAGTGAACTAAGGAAGGAAAACAAGGATTCAATGCAAAGAGATAACCTTGCATACCCTGATTGCAAAATCTACACTCCGCATGATAGAGCCTTCGTGAGAGTTAACGTCTAAAATCTGGTATATAAAGAATCATTAGCTCAATTCGAAAATTTTCGAGTAGCGGGAAATCGCGGCGGGAAATCGTTTTCGAAGCGAACGCTCTTCCAAATAGCACCTTTAGATTAGGAAAGTAGTTCACTAGTAGGAAAGTAAAAATTCGAATTCGCTAAACTTAGATTATGCTGCTATATGATATGCAATCACGACACCTCGTCACACTGCATGGTTACTGCTGTCCTGTCATGGTAAGGACCACTTACAGTCTGTCCCAATCCCAATCAGACCAGAATTGGCACAGCGAAAGTCCTCGTCTCTAGGGTTTTGTGTCACGTCTACGGGCTCCTCTCTCTTCAATCTCTGCTCTCTCCGACAGTGGATACATCGCAAGCCCTTGCCGCTGCGTGCGCGCCGATCTACGCCAACCTACGTATTGATCCCGATCGGGACATTAGTATGAGCGCCTTTTTCAATTGAGTTTGTGCTTAAAGGCACCGTCCACCCGAAATGTGGTCGATGAGATTTTGATGCCTAACAGTAGTGTGGCCCCCAGCAGGGTCCACGCGAGTCGGTTGGGTTTAAAAACAAAGTTTCCCCTGACTTTCGAAAGTGGTACGAGTCTTTTTTGAGCTAAATACTTAATAGAAGGTGAAAAAACAAGAAAGATTCACTAATCTGAAAAAAACGCGTGAGATAAGAGTGAAAATCCAAAATGGAAATGAATATACGCATGCACAAGAGTTTGGCATTGGAACGCGATATTTGATGACGCGATTTATGAAGAATTTACGGCTAAAAATACAGGAAAGGAAATGGCACGAAACTGTCTTCACGCTCAGGGATAGATTTTTGACCGGGGAATCCGTCCATGATAGAAAAATCCGAAACTTATGTGAAGTGACAGAAATATATGCTCCAGACGATCTCAGATTGTCCGGTGACCGTCTGGCGACGGACTAATTTTGGAAAAGTAATACTTCACATAAGTTTTCAAATCTTTTTGCATAATTCTTTTGCAAATAATTTCTATGTATACAGTTCAATTTTGGTGTCATATGATTCGTGTGCGCCATAAACAGGCAATTATTTATTTCAGCCTTGCTTTCAAAACGCGAGCAGTTTTCGACATACACGATAGAGCGTGTCAATCGTGTGGTAACCTGTTTGAAAAGCTTGTGTTCGACAAAATGGGGGCTTATTCTTGGTGCTCCGGCCTCAACTCGTCGAAAACGATATCTTCTTTGCTTTTTGCTCCAAAAACGAAGTCGAGCCTGCTTCCAGACGATCTGTGCCGGGCCCCTGCCCCCAGCTGTACACTTGCACAACTCGCGCTGCCAGGAGTTGCTTACAAAGCAAGAAAATTGCTTCAAAAGTCGCTTTGGATGACGATTCGCCACGTTGACTCTCCCCCTTTGAATGGGCGTGACGTTCGTCCCGCCCAATTGAGTGCACATAAGCAATCACCGTTCCGCACAATTCGCCCTGCGGGTACTTCAAAACGGGGTTTGTTAGGGTTTTCGTGGATTTTCGACTTAATATTCGGAATCAGGGACATGAGAAGGCCCCGGAACGACAAAAACATGGAAGCCGAGAATCTGGGTGGACAGTGCCTTTAAAAGAATAGTTAAACTGAGTGTTTTGATAAGCCGGTAGTTTGTTTCACAGTTCCAGTCTTTCGCTGAGGTTGATCGCATATTCGAGGAGAATGATGTTCGACCCGGTTACGACATGCTGAAAAAGGTGAGTTCTCGACTTTTGCCTTTTGCATTATGTAATACAGTATCTTGTACCGTAATTCTAAGTTATCGTTTTTGCGGCAAACTGTGCAATTGCATTCTGTGCGCTTTTCTCAGGCTTCAAAGCCTAAACTCGCCATACAGCGTTTTCAGTGACGCATAAGCTTTTCAAGTGTACATTGTTGGGTGACACCCCAATGCTACAATTGGCAGCAGCGTCAAGGGTTGACACGTATTTCATTGTGCTTTGCGAAAGCATCTTCTATTTTTTAGCGTTACGACGCTGGTGAGAAATCGTCTGATTTGCTTTGGCGACTTGCCAAATATTGTGATAAAATGGCTTTACAAAGCGCTGATAAAGGGAGAAAAAAGGAGCTGATTTTCGAAGGTTGTATAGGTTTCAGTGGAACCTACAACGAATATGGAAGTTTTTTTTTTCAGGAAAGTCCTATGCTTTGGAGGCTGTACAAGCCAACGAAAACGATTTTCAAGCATTGAAGTGGGCAGCAATTTTGACGGCAAGATCTATTGATTATCTTGGAGCTAAACAACATGCACAAGAAGGAGCAAAGTTGAAGGTTGGTGTAATTCGGAAAATAATGCATTTTTACCTTGTACTCAAATTATAGGAACTCCTAGATAAAGCCCTAGCCATGAACAGTAAAGATCATGTGCTCATATATTTACGAGGCAGATTTTCGTACTCAGTTGCTAGCCTCTCTTGGATAGAGCGAAAGGTAAGTCATTTTGAAGGAAGTTATTTGAAGACGTTATGGAGCTTTAGTTTGCCGCAATCTTTTTTGGCACCCCTCCCACTGCTACTATGGACGAAGCTTTGGTTGATCTGCTAGCCGCTGAAAAAGAGGAACCCCACTGGATAGAAAATCTCTTCTCCATCGCTCGCACATATCACGCAAAAAACGATAAGGTGTGCTGCCTTATTAATAGTTGATTTAGTTGGTTTCGGAAAATCATAAGCAACTTTTCAGGAAAATACTAGGAAATACTGTGAGAAATGCCTCGCCTGTACGCCGAAGAATGAAGATGAACGTGGTCGACAGAATGAAGCAAGGAAATTGTTAGACAAATGCTAGGACGGGGTTCATATGCAACTGTTCCTTTGCTGTAACAAGATCAAATATTTTGCATCCGTTCGTTTATATGACTCAAGACTTCAATACATTTCTATTGCGAGTAAAGAGCAATATGTTGCTGTAAAACAGCCTCCAATGTATCTCTTTTGTGCGATTGTTAGACAAATGCTAGGACGGGGTTCATATGCAACTGTTTCTTTGCTGTAACAAGATCGAATATTTTGCATGTGTTCGTTTGTATGACTCAAGACTACTTCCGGAAAGCTCAAAAGCTCAATACATTTCTATCGCAAGTAAAAAACAATATGTTGCTGTAAAGCAGCCTCCAATGTATCTCTTTTGTGCGTATTTTCAGAATGTGATTTTCTACACCTTCACTTAACAAAAAAAATCCATAGGTACTCCTCCGCTTTTGTTCTCCGATATTAGTTATTGACGTTCCATTGTGAGACTCTGTTGATTTCTGCACTTGACATCATTCGGAAAAGAATGGGACAACAATTTTCCAAACCAAGCTAAATCTACCATGCATGCTTCGGATGGCAGCTAGGAGATGTTGATTTCACTTGGAAGGCGGACCAAGTAGTCAGTCCCTTGCCGAATTTCATCGTTACTAAGCCTCACACCCCATTTATACATAGAGGATGTCCCAAAATAATGTGCACACTGTTTGATCTTTGATCACTCGTTTACTTCGATGTCTTTCGCCGATCTTTAGGTACCAATATGTAAAGCTCGCTTCAACCTAGATTTTCAGATGGAGCGAAACTGCAATCTCTGCTTGCTACTATAGGATTACGGTATGATCTTTCAGCTTACAGCGCCATTGCTAATTGGGAAAATTTTCAAGAAAAAAATTGGAAAATTGTGTGCAGGGTTTCCAAGCGAACACTGAGCAGATGTTACCCTGTTTCCCTGAAATACCTTTTAAAGGAAGCATAGCCGTGGTGTGCAAATCTGGTGCTGAACTCGACAACACTGAATTGTTGCAACTGTTAACGGCTCATTACCCTTTCAAAGTTCCCATAATCGCATATAACAAAGAAAAATCGGAAACACGTTCTATACTGTACATCTAAGTCGAAGCCAGCTTTAGGGAACGGACCTAGAAACAGTCGAAACATCGAAGCAAGCGAGTCATCCGATTGTGTGCACATTATTTTGGGACATCTGTCGACTGTTGCTGCAGCCAGCTGCCGGAGTTGCCGGCAAAGTAGCTGCAAGTGGTAGAATAATTACGCTTGTCGCCTAAGATTCTTGCCAAGAATTTCTTTGCATCTTGTCGCGCTGAATCGCGATCAGCCTTAGGGATAGCGTGATACTTCCATTATCTACATCATTTTGGATAGCAAAAAGTTTATAATTTTTTTTTCAGTTTTTCATAACTATGCAAATAAAAGAGCTCATATAGCAGAATTTCCATGAAGAAGAATGTTCACAAGATCACTTAACTCTGTTACCCAACTAAAACTGAAAACTACGAAACTCAGATTTCATTTCAAAAAATCTTATTTCCTGAAATCAAAGCCGGACAACTGGTGAGAATAATTACATGGAAATTTTAAGGTTACAACAGTAAGAAAGTCTGCCAAAATCAGCGTCTTTGACAGTGATGAAAAAGCTATAAAGTGTTAAAGGGAGCTGGGATAAAGCTGATCGTACTGCTTGTGAGGTTTTCGGATATCTTGTATATTTGGACGACCATTCTCTATAGAAATTTTCAGAGTTGTCAAGATATAAAAAAATGATCCAAATTCAAAAAAAATCCTAATAACCACTTCGCATCTCATATTCTGGAATATTCGTGGAAAAGTGCAAAAGTTATTTATGTGTAGATAAGTGAAATCTCAAGATATCGAAGTTTTCCGTAATCCCCAGCTCGCGAGCCAGGAATCATCGAAAAATTCACTATCTCCAGATTCCATTTCTCCTGTCGGAAACATGCTTAGCACTGCCGTGGTATGTCCTCAGTACAATTTTGAGGCGTTTCATTGACTCTCAGGAAGATAATCATTGTGAAAAGAAGGGTGATCCCATAGGGATCCCTCTGGGGATCACACAAATGGCAAAAAGGCGATGTTGTATAATGGTAACCTGGCATCCATTATGCGCAGGTACAAGTGTAGGAAAAACTTCATAAGCAAGATAGAGAAAGAAGAAGAAAGATACGTGAACATCCCCTCTCAGATCCCCTCCCCTCTCCAGCGGGGATGTACTTGCATAGGCCCTAACAATAAGCAAGTAAGTTTTAAAATTATTGGCTACAAGCTGGCATGCCCGGTTCTGCCCGCAACATGGGTTCAAAGGCAGCGTCCAGGCAAGATCCATCCACTCAGATTAGCACAGTTGTAAAGGGGGACTATGAGTATCCGGTCTGCGTTGGTTCTATCCTTTGACGTGCCCTCTAAAAGAAGATACGGGCCTGTGATACGTATCACAAGCCGCCCCTTCGTATCACAAACCCCTGAGGACGAGTGCTTACGCAGGTGTGCGGTTGCATTGCAGTTGCATTGCAGTTGCACTGCACACTGCAATGCAACTGCATCCGTGCAGTTGTAGCTCCTCCCGCTGACATGACGATGGGAACGAGCAATTCGAAACTCTTCCGCTCCTTGAAGAGAGGGTCCCCAAAAACCGGGTTTTTGGGAGTTTTGAACAATGGACTTTACAACTGTGATCAGGGCCACGGAAAGGCCCCAGAATGGCAGAAACATGAGAGGCGAAATTTTGCCCGGACGCTGCCTCTGAAGGCAGGGTCCGGGCAAAAATTCGATTTTGAGATTTTGTGCTTACCCGGGCCTGTTTGTTATGCTGTCCGAAAATCCACACTGGAGAGCGAGAAACGGCGGAAAATTACTCTAACGCAGGAGGGAGATCAGAAATGGGCGGGGTCTTCCCCTGTGCGAGTTTACGGTTCCAGCTTCTGGAGCGATCTTCTCGGTTCCGATTTCAAGTCACGCATTGGCATGTGCCCTGTGGAGACTTCAGAGCGACTAGCGAAAGTGAGAAGATCGCTCCCGAAGCCGGGAGCGTGAATCCGCAGTGGGGAAAACCCCGCAAACTTCTGATTTTCATCCTGCGTTAGGGCCCTTTTTCTCCGTTTTCGCGCTCTCCAGCGTGGATTTTTGGACTTAGCATAGCCAATAGCTCTGGTAAGCACAAAATCTCAAAATCGACTTTTTGCCCGGACACTGCCTCTAAGCTCTGGTAAGCACAAAATCTCAAAATCGACTTTTTGCCCGGACACTGCCTGTGGCCAACAAAAAGCAAGATCATTGCGATACACCAAATGCTTAACTTACTGCGTTTCGGCGTTCTTCTCTTTTTTGTACAACACGGGCAGATATCTCCTGATCGCATCCTTAAATTACCACAGTTTCCTATCATGGAATGGAAAAGAGCTCTACCGTTATTGTTCACACAAAAGCTGGAACCGGTTTGATAATAATTGAGAAATGTTCATGCTTCTTCAAAATCAAGAAATCAATAGAAGGAGCCGGAATCTCGCCACAAACTCTTGGCGTAAAAAACACGAGTTCGGAGTTTTTGGGCAGGTACACACTAGTACTTTCGTCGTACTCGTCGAAAGTTTCGTGCGTCCACACAGCGCCAATATGGCGCTCCAATGGGCAGCTCTGAAGGAGATGTATGTGCGAGAAGCGCAAGAATAACTCGGTCCTAACTCAATACTGCACCACATCATGAGCGCCTTCCGCTGAACAAGAATTAACAAACCAGATATGTTTTCTTACCTCTCAACACAAAATTTACGCTGCATTCAAGCATGTATCTTCATTTACTAAATGTGCCGAAGAGCAGGCGGTGGGCGCTTTATCAAACTTACTTAGTTTCAGTATATGTGAAGCAGAACTGAAGTGCACTGCTTAGGCTACCCATTTTATTACATCAGACACATCATTACAAGTTTTACATACGATTGACATTCAAAGTCTGCGGTATATTTGCGGTATGAAAATTTGATAATAAATCAGTTTTACCTAGTTTGCCCGTAGCCTGCAGGATGATGATAATATGAACCACGTTCGCCATTTGAAAAATCTACCTTTCACAGCTTGTCTCCATCTTGCCACAAATTGAAGGCTAGTTTGTCGATTTGCAATTATATGGCAACATAAGCCCATGATTTTGTAAGATTTGATTTTATTGGTAAAGCTATCAAATTGGAATAAAGTATGAAATTAGCTGTTATCCAGCGTAGTTAGCTCGTGGCTTAGCGAACTCAACATTGTGACCCAACACAAATTGAGCAATCATCAATGCAGTACGCTATATGCTGTAATTTTGTAAATTACTCAATCACCTATCGTTGAGCTGTGCCCCAACTGACTAAGTCCGCAGCTGCGTATTTAGGTGTAGAGGACGAATATGCTTTCTCTGGCTCCGAGAGTGGCAGTGGTTCTGCAAGGAATAACATGCCTTCTGCGTCATCGTCAGAGAAAGAAATGTAAGAAGTTTGAAGCAGGCTGATTAGTGAGAAATCTTCCTTTTTCTTGCAAATATGATGTTTAAATCATTAAGTAATCCAAATTCCAGAGAAAATGAAGCTAATGACCATCCACGTTCAAGGGGAGGGACAGAATCATCAAAGGTACAGTTTGTTCCACGCCAAAGTAGGCACAAGCATTTCTGGAGCTGCGCGTCCGCATCGCTAGAGGTTTTGCGAGCGCACAGCATTTTGAGCAAAGGCAGAGAAGAATGAAGACGACTTTGAAGCCATCGAACATTGAAATGCTTCAAATTATTGCCTGCGCATAAACTAAACGAGGGCGAAACCGCGGGTCAGTGTTACCGCTATCGTTTCTCTTCCTTTCTCTTGTGTGTGTGTGTGTGTGTGTGTGTGTGTGTGTGTGTGTGTGTGTGTGTGTGTGTGTGTGTGTGTGTGTGTGTGTGTGTGTGTGTGTGTGTGTGTCTTTTTGAAAATGACTAACCCTGTATGGGGTTTCGACTGGGGTGATCCTGGTGTCCCGTAAAACATGTTTTTTGGAGGTCCCGAGAAGGCAGTGCGACGAGTTGTGCCGTATTACCCCAAATAGCCTCTCCTAGGGTGGAGGAACGAACACCTATTTAGGCACCGCCTCCGCGGACCACTGGTGCCAACATGGTGCACAACAGTAGATGAAAGGACCAGCAGCCCGCGGAGGCGATGCCTGATCGAGGCGTTCGTTCCTCTACCATCTCTGCTACAGTGGCAGCAATGCCATAGAGGTGGACGGCGGCGCCGCGTTATGGAGCAAAGCTACGCCGCATTTGCCTGTGGTATATCCTGAGGGCCCATTGCGTTGCGTCGCTCCTAATTGCAGTCGCAGAGGAGCTAGCGCTACCGAGCGAATTGAGCCATTTTCCTCACTCTCCATAGATAAAGAGGTCAAAATATGAATGATAAGGGGCGAATCAAATATAGAGTATGAGGAGGAAGAGTCTGCAAAGCAAGCCAAGAGAAAGTGAAAGATGAGTGAGTTAATTTCTCTTGGAAACTCATGACGGAAAATTTCTATCCTTTTACTTTACTAATCCTCGTGTTCCACTTCTCTTGAACATTTTTAGCTCAAATCAAGCATTGGATTCTCAGATTCAGCCCTTCATTCATCCCTAGATTCATTTATTTTTCAGTTTTCTAAATTGCCGTCTTCTTTGTTTTCCTAATGGCATCTATACAGTTTCGACATATCAGGTCGTAGTAATAGGGAATGGCTCGCTACTCCTGCGCAATTAAGAGCGACGCAAGGCAAATGGCCCTCAGGATATACCGCAGGGAAATGCGGCGTAGCTTTGCTCCATAACGCCTGCCCCCCGAGGTGGACATCAATTGAAAATAGTGTTGGAACGCCTATGGAGGAAACCCCCAATAGGCCAGTCGGGCCATACCGAGCCGCTGACTACAGATGTAAAATCTTTTGCGCAAGTTGGTAAACAGTGCTTTGATTACGGCGCGCACATAAGATTATGCTACTAAATTTGGCATGCAAACGGACAATGGTCAAAAGAAACAAAGTGAGAAAAGTTGTGAAAAATATATCTGATTAAAAGGCGCGGCAAGCTCTTTTCTGAAAAATTCCTGCTACCAAAAAATGGAAAAATGATTCGTTTGCAACCCCAGATGACGATATGGCACGAAGGTGTGTATGTGGGCAGTGCCACTAAGGCACAAAGTATGAAAAATTATGGAAAACAAAGTAATGTCTCCAAACGACTTCTTTCAAACTTTAGACAAGTTTACAAAAAGTGAACTAAGGAAGGAAAGCAAGGATTCAGAATGCAAAGAATTAACCTTGCACACCCTGATTGCAAAATTTACATCCGCATGATAGAGCCTTCGTGAGAGTTAACGTCTAAAATCTGATATATAAAGAATCGTTAGCTCAATTCGAAAATCTTCGAGTAGCGGGAAATCGCGGCGGTTCTCGAAGCGAACGCTCTTCCAAATAACACCTTTAGATTAGGAAAGTAGTTCACTAGTGGGAAATTAAAAATTTAAATTCGCTAAACTTAGATTATGCTGCTATATGATATGCAATCACGACACCTCGTCACACTGCACGTTTACTGCTGTCCCGTCATGGTAAAAAAAGACCACTTACAGTCTGTCCTAATCCTAATCAGACCAGAATTGGCACAGCGAAAGTCCTCGTCTCTAGGGTTTTGTGTCAAGTCTACGGCGCTCCTCTCTCTTCAATCTCCGCTGTCTCCGACAGTGGAGACAACGCAAGCTTTTGTCGCTGCGTGCGCGCCGATATACGCCAACATATCCCGATCGGGACATTAGTATGAGCGCCTTTCTCAATTCAGTTTGTGCTTGAAGGCACCGTCCATCCAATATGTGATCGATGAGATTTTGATGCCTAACAGTAGTGTAGCCCCCAGCAGGGTCCGCGCGAGTCGGCTTCTAGGGTTCAAGAACGAAGTTTCCCCTAACTTTCGGAAGCTTTGCAAAGTTCCCTCTGAGCTAAATACTTAGTAGAAGGTGAAATAAGAAAGATCCACTACTCTGAAAGAAAAAGCGTGAGATAAGAGTGAAAATTCAAATTGGAAATGAACATACGCACGCACAAGAGTTTGGGCATTGCCACGTTGACTCCTCGCCTTTTAGTGGGCGTAACGTTCGTCCCGCCCAATTGAGCGCACATAAGCAATTACCGTTCCGCACAACTTGCCCTGCGGGTTCTCCAAAACGGGGTTTGTTAGGGTTTTCATGGATTTTCGGCTCAATATTCGGAATCAGGGACATGAGAAGGCCCCGGAACGACAAAAACATGCCGAGAATCTGGGTGGACAGTGCCTTTGAAAGGATAGTTAGACTGAGTGTTTTCACAAGTCAGTAGTTTGTTTCACACTTCCAGTCTTTCGCTGAGGTTGATCGCATATTCGAAGAGAATGATGTTCGACCCGGTTACGACATGCTGAAAAAGATGAGTTTTTGACTTTTGCCTTTTGCATTATGTAATACAGTATCTTGAACGGTGATTCTAAGCTATCGTTTTTGCGGCAAACGATGCAATTGCATTCTGTGCGCTTTTATCAGGCTTCAAAACCTAAACTCGTCATACAGCGTTTTCAGTGACGCATAAGCTTTTCAAGTGTGCATTATTGGGTGAAACCCCAATGCTACAATTGGCAGCAGCGTCGAGGGTTGACAGTTCTTGTGCTTTGCAAACGAGCATCTTCTATTTTTTAGCGTTACGACGCTGGTGAGAAATCGTCTGATTTGCTTTGGCGACTTGCCAAATATTGTGATAAAATGGCTTTACAAAGCGCTGATAAAGGGAGAAAAAAGGAGCTGATTTTCGAAGGTTGTATAGGTTTCAGTGGAACCTACAACGAATATGAAAGTTATTTTTCAAGGAAAGTCCTATGCTTTGGAGGCTGTACAAGCCAACGAAAATGATTTTCAAGCATTAAAGTGGGCGGCAATTTTGACGGCAAGATCTAGTGATTATCTTGGAATTAAACAACGTGTCCAAGAAGGAGTAAAGTTTAAGGTTGGTGTAATTCGGAAAATAAGGCATTTTTACCTTGTATTCAAATTATAGGAACTCCTGGATAAAGCTCTAGCCATGAACAGTAAAGATCATGAGCTTGTACATTTGCGAGGCAGATTTTCGTACTCAGTTGCTAGCCTCTCTTGGATAGAGCGAAAGGTAAGTCATTTTGCAGGAAATTATTCGAAGACGTTGGGAAGCTTTAGTTTGCCGCAATCTTTTTTGCCACCCCTCCCACTGCTACTATGGACGAAGCTTTGGTTGATCTGCTAGCCGTTGAAAAAGAGGAACCCTTCTGGATAGAAAATCTCTTCTCCATCGCTCTCACATATCACGCAAAAAACGACAAGGTGTGCTTGCTTATTGTTGATTAATTTTGTTGGTTTCAGAGAACCAAAAGCAACTATTCAGGAAAATACTAGGAAATACTGTGAGAAATGCCTCGCCTGTACGCCGAAGAATGAAGATGAACGTGGTCGACAGAATGAAGCAAGGAAATTGTTAGACAAATGCTAAGACGGATTTCATATGCAACTGTTTCTTTGCTGTAACAAGATCGAATATTTATGCGTTCGTTTGTATGACTCAAGACTATTCGGAAAATCAGCAATGCTCAAAACATTTTTTCTGCAAGTAAAAAAACCATGAGCTGCTGTAAAACAGCCTTCCTTGCATTTCTTTTGTGCGTATTTTCATAATATTGGTTTTCTTCACCTTCACTTGTCAAAAAACCCATGGGTACCCCTCCACTTATGTTCTCCGCCATTAGTTGTGACGTTCCATTGTGATTCTCTGTTGATTTCTGCATTTGACATTATTCGGAAAAGAATGACAAAAATATACCAAACCGAGCTAAAATATACCATGCATGCTTCGGATGGCAGCTAAGAGATGTTAATTCTATAATACTTGGAAGGCGGACCAAGTAGTCGGTTCGTTGTCGAATTTCATGCTTGAACCCAACAGTCCCATTTTCATACGACGGGATGTCCAAAATAACGTTCACACTGTTTGATCTTTAATCACGCGATTGCTTCGATGTCCTTCGCCGATCTTTAACCACTACGTAAATCTCTCTTCAAATTAGATTCTGAGTATGGAGCAAAACTGCAATCTCTGCTTGCTACTACAGGATTACGAAATGATTTTCAGCAAATAGCGTTATTTCTAATTAACACATTGACGACCGTTGACACGCATGGTGTGTCAAGGCTTGACACATCCTGACTCTCATTGATGTGGCTACCAAAATGTGTCAAACCAACTCCGGGAGTTTTCTTTCATGCTAGATTTAGATACAACCTCTACTGTTTCTGCCAGCATTCCAGCGGTACTGTAGGTGTACTGTAGATGGAATTGTGCGTTATTTTATTTGAAAAGTGTTGGCTGGTCCGAGGAAGGCTTCGGTCGTCGAATGTTGAGCAGTTCAACAAAAAACTTTCAAAAATGGATGTGTGCAGGGTTTCCAAGCTGCTGATTTCATATGCAACTTTTGACAAGATTTCTGGGCTTTTTTAGAGGTGTGATCATTTAAAGGACAATAAAAAAGCTTATGTTACTGCTTTTCTGTACTTATGAAGGAAGCATAGCTGTGGTGTAAAATTTCGTATCTGAAATTGGCAACACTTAATAACCAAGTATAAGGGCTTTTGGTTTTTTGGCTTTTCTTCTGAGGCAAGTTGTGACTTTTAACGGCAAACCTCTGCAACGTTCTCATCGTAATCCTACATTAAGAAGAAAAATCGGAGACCCGTTCTATACTGTAAATCTAAGTTGAGGCCAACTCTATGGAGTGGTACCTAGCAGTGGCGGTCGCAGGATTTCGGACCGGGGGGGGGGGCGACAAAAATTTTTCCAAGATGCGTGGCGTTAGCCACGCACTCCAAAAAAACATTTTGGTTTTACAAGGCGAATTTGAATTTTTAAAAAATTTTAGAAATTATTTTAATTATTTACAAGTATAAACAAGTCACTTGCATATTTTTGTAACGCATACAAGTAACTTTGAAAAATTTCGAGAACATCGAAGCAAGCGAGTTATCAACGATCAAGTAGTGTGCACATTATTTTGGGATACTTGTATATCTATGCATTATTTTGACGTTCTGAAAAATTCTGCTAGCATGGGGACGAGTGACATAGTGATATCACCGCTCTGACAGCATCGGACTAAATTTTGATTTCACCCCTGAGCTAACCAAGCTGTATACCGTCTTATCGCCGCCACTTTTCGCTTCCCGCTGAGAAACTTTGCTAGAACTGGCAGCGAGCGGACTGCCATAAAGTCTTCAGCGCGAAGCGTAAGTGGCGGCGATGCCTTATCGCTGCCACCTTCGCTTCGCGCTGAAGACTTTATGGCAGTCCGCTCGCTGCCAGTTCTAGCAAATTTCTCAGTGGGAAGCGAAAAGTGGCGGCGATAAGGCAACGACGCTTTTGGTGGGGTCGGCTAAGTCCTTTGATTGTCTGAGTATACCAAACAGAGAAGGCATTTAACTCGAAGTAGACTTCGCTCAATAAGGGGAGGCGGTGCCCGGTGCCAAATAGTACTCGAGCGGCCGACTGTTGCTGCAGCCAGCCGCCGGAGCTGCCGGCAAAGTCGCAGAGCCGACAAAGACAGATGATAGAATAATTATGCAGAAGCCTAAGATTCTTGCCAAGAATTTTTTCTTGCATTTTGTCGCGCTGAACTGCGATATCAGTCCCAGGGATAGCGTGTTACTTCTATTATCTATATCATTTCAAACAGCAAAAAATTCACAATTTCCTTTTTCATTTTTACCTAATCATGCAAATAAACAAAGCTCGGTACTTTTCCGTTATCCGGACCCATTTTTTCGAGAGGCTCGCACAACATGTTGTTCTTCAGTCTAGGAATATTTTTTTGTAGATTTTACGAAGACTGCCTCCCCGCCATATGTTAGGAAATATATGACACGTTTTAGCCCATTTTGACTTGATTTTTTTTCGAAATTATTTCCGGTGAGGTAAAAAGGCGTTTGTGACCAACTAAAAGCCTTTCAACTGCTTTCTCTAAAAGCAAAACTGTCTAGGACTTATAGCAGATCATCTTAGTTGATTTCAGCAATAATTCAAACTTCAATTCAAACTTTGTCTTTCTCTTCAAACTTTCCGCCATGCGAATTTAGTCAGGAGAGACTATAAATGATGGCTTGCGGTATTTCGCTGCTGCTTGTTTCGCCGCTTGGAAAATGGAATCCTAGCACACTTCTTTATTCTGGGCAAACAAAATCTGTTCAATGATAACAGGATGACGTTATTATTATGACAGTATTCATTTCTGAATCCTTTATTTGAAAATGGGGTCCTTATTGACTTAAATACAGAGTGAATTTACGTCGCAAGGTAGTGCAAAACAAAACCTTGGTAAAACCTATTAAACATGTAATAACATGTCAAATTTTTTTGACACGTGGCAAAAGGTTAACACTCCTTCCTGTGAATTCGAGACCATATGACAAAAGAAAAAAGCAATATTCTTCTTTGAAAAATGGTCCGGATAACGGATAAGTACCCAAAGCTCAATAGAGCAGAATTTCCATGAACGAGAATGGTCGCAAGATCAGTTCACTTTGAATATCCTAAATAACCAAAAACTAAGAAATCCAGATTTGTTCTGAACCTCTTTTTTCTGACATCAACGTCGGAGAAATGGCGAGAATAGCTGCATGAAATGTTAATGATATAACAGTAAAAAAGTCCAAAATCAGCGTTCTTGACCTAGTGATGAATAAAGCTATGAAGAGCTAAAGGTAGCTATGACAAAGCTAATCGTATTGCTTATGAGATTTTCGGATACCTTGTATTTTTGGACGACCATTCTCTAGGGAAAATTTCGGGTTTGTCAAGAAATAAAAAATGATCCAAATTTGAAAAAAAAAACCTAATAACCACTTCGCATCTCACATTCTGGAATGTTCGTGGAAAAGTGGATGTGAAGTTAGGAAATTTTTGGAAATTTTGCGCTTGTATAGTTAACGTGCGCATTTTCTGCCGTTTTAAAGCAATAGATTCGAGATAACACGCCATCCCTGAGGCTGATATCGCAAGCGCTAGAGGTGCGAAAGCGTAATTATTTATTTATTTGTTAAATGCATTAAAAGTGAGACCATCATAAAACTACGAAAAAAAACTAAGTAACAGTCAGTAAGAAAAAAGTGGGAAAAACACTAGATCTAGACAGAAACTTGAAATCAGTACTAATAACAAAATTCAAGCAACACTCATTCACGTAGTTTGAGGGCCGGAACAATACCACCAGCCAAGCCAATTACTGTACTACTCAGATAATCGCCGGGGGCAGGCGGCCATGCGATTTATGGGCGGGCGGGCACCGGAAAAATGGCTTGCCGGTTTCTTGCGGTCCGCTTGCAGATATCTGGAAGAAATTTAGCGAAATTTTAAACTAATGCTTGGAGGACATTCGCAATTTCCTTGTAGATTAGCTGCGGCGCAGTGGCCGCATCTTCAGGGACTTTCCGCGAGATTATACAAAATTTTCGAGGGCCGCACGGTCCTTTGTGGAAGACCGCGCAGTCCCCAAGTATTTTCCGCTGAGAAAGTACTTCAAACTTGAGTAATTTGACCAACGGTGACACCTCTGCCACACAGAGGCAGAGGTGTCACCGTTGTGCTACCTGTGCTCGACTTAAGCCCGAAACTGCGTAAAAAGAGTCCGAGCGCCTGCTGAAAGTTCGTCCAGCGTTTGCTGAAAGAGATTATCTGACGAGCGCCTGCAGAAAATTCTGCGTTGCTGCCCGCTGGCAGAACATTAGACAGTAAAGGAAGTACCGCTCGCTGAAGGTTTGGCACGCCCCAAAATTCTGCTGACCTCTTGCAGAAAATCGCGAGTTTGCGGACCGCCTGCCCCGGCGATTATCTGAGCATCTGCAGATTTTGCCGGCAGCGCGGCTAACTGCGACAGCAGTCGGCTGCTCGCGTACCACTTGCTATGCCCCTCCCCCCCCCCCCAATGAGATATATATCAACAGGGTCAAGCAAGGGGTGTGGCACACGATCGCTGGTTACGACCCCCCCCCCCCTGATTGCTGTCTTAATAAGACCCCCCCCCCTGGACTATACCCTTAAGATAGCATTACTTGGAGGCCCTGTCAAACATAATGGGCAACATATCCATAATGAGCATGTCAATTAACCCCTGTAGACAAAGTTTGAGCGAATTCTGAAGATCCAAGATACTAGGCTACCTAAGTGAAATGGTCAAATTCCAACATGTTAACTTTGTTTCAAAGGTGAATTAGCTATCCGTTTTTGCACTCAATACAAAGCACTACTCCTTCTTTGTCCACCTCAGGAATCCCTCTTCAGAAGACCTCCAAACTATTGAATTAGAAGCCAACCAAAATCTCGTTTTTCCCATTTTTCGCTTTTGATCGCTGTGCTTTCACCAAATATTACTCAGAGCTAAGAAGACGAATCAGGCTCAAATCACTCCTGTGAAAACTAGGTAATCTAGGCTATCGATTCATATAAAAACTGTCCGCTAAAAATGTTTTTTTGATATAGTTAATGGCCTGCGGCACCCCCCCCCCCCCTCAAAACCTGCGGCAGCCGCAGGTTTTGAGGGGGGGTGCCGCAGGCCATTAACTATATCAAAAAAACATTTTTAGCGGACAATATTTATACGAATCAATAGCCTAAACCTCGTAAAATCCATAGGGATGTTTTGAGCCTGATTCGTCTTCTTAGCTCTGAGTAATATTTGGTGAAAGCACAGCGATCAAAAGCGAAAAATGAGAAAAACGAGATTTTGGTTAGCTTCTAATTCAATAGTTTGGAGGTCTTCTGAAGCGGGATTCCTGAGGTGGACAAAGAAGGAGTATCGCTTTGTATTGTGTGCAAGAAGAGGTAGCTTACTCACCGTTAAGTTGAAGTTAATCATGTTTTAAATTACTGCTTTATACAAGGTTGTTTACTACTCGGAGACCTCAGAGTTCGCTGAAACTTGGCGCATAGGGGTTATTCGACACGCGGATTACGACAATTATGCTTGATTAGAGGTACGGTAGGTTACGGTAGGCTAAACTTTGCACATACACATGCCGGGACGGGCGGGTTCGTAGGCTACTTTTCGTTAGTTGATCGAAATCAATTTTATCGACGGTTATTGATTTTTTGCAGAGTTTGAGCTATAGGCTTGAGAGGTGGCACAGGGAGTAAATGAGCATGTTGATCACGAATACAATTTACTTTTTAAAGTTATCGAATACTAGGTGGCATGCCCGGCTTTGCCCGCAGCGTGGGCTTATGTGGCCAACAAAAAGCACGATTGTTGCGCAACTCCGAATGCTTAACTTCTCTTGATTGCATCCTTGAATTACCGCATTTTACCATATCGTGGAATGGAAGTGAGTTCTACCGTCATTGTATACACGAAAGCTGGAAGTGGTTTGATAATAGCTGAAAAAAGTTCAAGTTTCTTTAAAATCGATAAGTCGACAGAAGAAGCCGAATTTCTCCACGGAAAGTAGCTTATGGGGTAAACCGGTGTCGAGAATAATGTGTGCAAAGTTTCGCGTTGATCGGTTCAACACAAAAGTTTCTATTAAGAACTCACTTACTAACAAATTACCAACACTCCGCTTTATATACAGGGTAATCCACATGAAATGTGACGCACAAAAGCTTTCGTAACTTTGCTAGAATTCAGTGAAACTGAAAGATTTTGTTTTCATCTGATAGGCAAGAAATTTCCGTAAAGGACATTATAGATTACTTTAGGGATATCCACCTGGCTTCGATGAAAAAATTTATTCTGCTCGGAAAAAATTCAAAATGCGCGCAATGGTTTTTGACGGACGTCCTAGGATCTCCTTTTAGCAAACCCAATGAAATGGATTTGGAAGAGCGGGTGTTTTGCTCACAGACAGATGGGCCAGAAAGAGGATTCGTGGGTTCAAGGATGTTCGAGTGGAAAAAGCCGAACAGTGTTTTTTCATATGTGGCCCACATGATGTTTGACTGGCTGCAAAAAATCATTTTTTAGTCTTTTTCACTCCATGTTTCGGGGTAGTCGTCTTCTCCATTTTCTTTTGTCCCTTTGTGGTTGTTCTCGACTTCGATTCTTAGTAAAAACCTGGTCAAGCTCGAAGATTTTCCAAAGGCAGTCGCCATGGCAACGAAGATTACAATTTGCCGAGATTTTGGAAAAAGCATCGGAAGCAAACTTCGAAAGGCAGTGGCACCTTATTGGATCAAAGGAAATACTATAGATGCTTTTGGCAATTTCTAGCATGACTAGACACCAATCCATAGCGAAAAGAAGAAATTGCAGTTGTATAAAATCAGTGAATAGTGGAAAAAAATGATATTTGGCCCTCTAGCTCGGTCATCCTCACACCTACAGACACTCTTTTTTTCTGCCTGAAAGGAAAGAGTCTGCCCTTCAAAACCCATGTCATTTGATTTGCCGACGAGAAACTTGATGAGAGTTTGGGAGGAGAAACCATCGCGGGCAAACTGAAGAATTCAGAAGAGGTTTGAAGGAGAAAAAACGATTTCAAAACAAACAGCGGCAGGTATCTTAAGGGTTAGCTAGAAGCTTTTAGACAGAATTCTCTTCTCTATCAGGTGAGAACAAAAGCTTTTGATTTCATTTAGTCCATGCAAAGTTATAATCTTTTCTCGTTGTATCAAACTTCATGTTGACCACCCTGTATGTTTAGATCTTTGTCGATTCTAACGATTTTTTTCTGCAAGGTTTGACTACGGGCGGGAACTTGACGCGGTGTGAGTGAGTATGCTAATCACCAAAATATTGTGGAGGCAGAATACTGGCATATAGTTGGGTGACAGGGCAATATTGTATGCGAACAAGCTTGGTGATCAACGTCATTATTGAAAGGGCCTGGCGGAGCCGGGTATGCCAGCTAGTGTTTGGATAAATCACTTGGATACGAAATGAGCTTAAATTCTAGATTCGAAAACTTTATCAGTGTTACAAAACATTTGCAGTGCTCCAACTGTTAGTAAGCTTAAGCCCAACAGAAAGCTTCAAAAATAATCCTTTCAGCTTTTGCGCAAACTGGAGTGAATTTTAAAGGTAAAATTAAGATTAGTAAACAATTGATATAATGAGCGAATCGAGTAGTATTATGAGCTTGGAAAGGGAGAGATTGTAAACAAACCATTGCTTTCTCACCCTCACGCAATAATGATCATTTTGTGTTCTAAATCTCGAAGGCATGGCTGTTTCTTATAAGTCTGTTCTTGAGGCGGTGAGCGCTTACTTCTGAGAAGGGTAAAGCTTCAAATTGTGCTCAAGGCGTCTCTTTTCAATGATGAGCAGAGTCGCATTGACGTTAGGAAAAAATTTAAGCATCAGCAACTCAAAATAATGCGATGCGAATGCGCGGTTTCACGAAAGCAGTTATGGCATATGAAAGGACTATACTTTACTCTGCAAAACTTTGACATTGTGTTTAAGCTAGTGGCGCAAAGTCCTTAGAGAAATAAACGGCCGCTACTTGCAGATATTTTTCTGTTACTCTTGCGACAACTGTTAGAATGTGACGAACTATAAGTAGTGACACCCGCTACGCTTTAACACATCAATCAGTTATTAGTCGCGGGCCTCCAAAGGCACACGTACTTGATCTGCTTCGTCCACTTAATCCATTCGATCCGCTTTTCATTGGTCTGGGTCTGCTCAGTGAACTGACCAATAGTGAAATGAATGAAGTGGATCAAGCAGATCAACTGACAACCGCTTTGCTATCAGTTCACTGAATTGACCAATGACGAAGCGCATCAAGTAGATTGAGTGGATTAAGTTATTGAGTATGGAGCTTACCTAAGGAGTGGTTATGATTTCAGGTGCAGGCATTTGTCATATGTGGTGTGCTATCGGCACAAGGCCCTCCCAAAATGTCCGTGAAAGACTGGTCTTGTGGTTTCACTGAAACTCAAAAGCAATACACGTACGATTTATTGGAAGGTAGTTGCGCTAAATATAAAGGTAAGTACGAGGCAACCATGCTAGTATGTTGCGAGGGTCGCAGTTCCAAGGACATTCACTTTTGGCGAAGAATATGAACAAAGAATACAGATTTATGGGGAAGGTGCATGAATGAAGCCCTGCACTCATTCTATAAACTATCGCGGCAACTGCCGATCACAAAACTCATTCGAATTAAAATCTAATTTGTGACGAAGTTTCCAACTTCAAAAGTTTTTTTTGTAACCTCTGCGTTATCCTACTATAATAGGGATAAGGCCGCTGCTTGTGTTTGTATGTTTATCTTTTTGTTATACACATAGAGCAACTTCGCTATTATCATGAAGGTTTGCCGTACACAAGAGTGAACTGGTCCGATAAGCGGGTTCTTCAGCAATCGAGCTTAAATGGACCTCTTGCCCGCAAACTTAGCCAGTAATTGAATTTTTGCAGAGCTATTTCGCTTAAAAGGTAAATCTGCAAGCTATGTCTTTAGCCCAGTCAAAGGTTTATATTGATTGCGTTCATAGCTTTGCCAAGGTTTTGTTGAGAAACTTAGGAATTCACAACCGTGTAGTTCAAGGTCGCCATTGCCCTTTTCGGCGACTCTCATATAATATTCATTATGTGCTTCAAATTCACATTTATCTTTTGCACGAAAATCTTCCTTCCAAAATTTACGGATGCATGGGGAAAAGCTTTTGAAAAGAGCAGTTGTTCACATTTAATCGTAGTGGTCAAGCATTGCGCGGTGAGTTTCAAAGCCATCAGATTTGATTTAGCCATGATCCACAGCTCAATAATGTCGAGCGCAAGGATCTAGTTCCAAATTTTCGAAATCAAAGCCATTACATGCTAGCATGAGGAAGCCATATGAATAGTAGAACCAGTGCGAACTTCTGCGAAAAAGGGTAACGCACTGGTTCGATATGACTCGAAATAACATAAAAAATCCCACCCTTGGAAGAGATGCCATTGCATGCTCCTTTAGATTTTCGAACTGAACCCTTCGTGTTGGGCTCGACAACAGTTTGCAATTTGACTAACTCAAATCGTTGGCGTTCTTGGGAGTCTATAAAAGTTTTTGGCTAGAACAAGAATTTAATGTAAAAAAAGACCTACTTTGTCAAGAGGCACGTAGACTAATGTGCAGTAGATGTCTCAAGCACACCAACAAGCTTTGTGACTCGCGCATTATCTTATTAGCAGGGCTTTCAGAGAGATTTGTGAAGTCCGAGGTTATACGCCCTTGCTTCTACATGTGTCCATCATTTGGACATTTGAACTTGCGTTGTTGAGATCTAGCTGTGCTCCAAAGGCTCTACAGTCAAACAGTGCAGTGCAGTAGCGCTTAATACGGACATCATATAATGTTAGCAAAAGGGAGTAAAGAGTGTCGTTTAATGCTCTCTCTCTTCTGAGATTCTCGGCCACTCATGTAGAGGAGTATTTGGCATGGGCAGCGAGGGAAGGATGGTAGCAGACCGCAGTCTGTGCGTCAAAATGTGGGGCAGCTAAAGAAAGTGTTTTGGTGAAGTCATAGGTTCGAGAATCAAAAATTTCAAGAAGTATATTAGCACAATTTTGTACAACCGAGATGCGATGCTGACGTTACTATGTCATTGCCAAGATACCTGCAGTTTGCAGAAACGTCAAACTATATGCGTTTTCAGACTTCCTCTGAAAGCATCGGCCATTCAGGTCAATGAAGATCTTCAATCAATCTCCTGGAAAAGTGTGCTTGCGTACGAAACGTAAACATCATTACGTGCTCCATTTCTCAGCGCAGTAGCAAAAATCAGAATGGAAGCCTGAAGCCTAAAGTGCTGTCATAGCCATCAGGAAGGTGATCTTATGAGTGCGTGCCAGGCAGAGGATGTAGCACTCTAACCCGAAAGCTGCCCTTCAGTCAGAATCCGTCGATCGTTTCTACATGCTTGCAATTACAAAGGCCTTGTCCATCGGCTATAGCAGCCATGCATCCATAGAATGGTGGACAAATTCCCTGAAGCCGTCGTTGCCTGGAGGGTGGATTGAGCCGTGACGGATCTTTCAATTGTTTTTTGAGGGTGATGAGATGGGTTCCAATGTTGGCTTTGCGACCTGAAGCTTCGGATGCTAGATGTTTTGATGTTGTAGAATATGCAGAAGCGCCGTTCCAGCTTCCGAACGCTTGCTGTACGACTCGCCAAGTTTTGGCGTGTCTTCCCTGTTGTACCCTTCCCTAAACGTCATATTCTGTGACCTGCTCTCGGAAGGACCCATTACACTTTTGGAACTGGCAAAGCCTGCATAGTTTAAAGGCAAAAGGCAGTTGCTCGGCAAATCTCAAGCTAGTAAAATTTTCGCTTACTTGGGGTTATTCAATATGCTGATCTCGAAAATGCACTTTTAAGAGCTTGAAAACGGCGAAAACGAGAGTTTTTCATTGCCCTTCTTTTTGGAATTTGACGAGCGGAGCAAGGCTGATGACGCTGAATCGTTGCAGGACCCAATGGTTATAGCTGTGCGGCGGGCAGCCTCCAATGGTGAAAAGGAATTTGCCAACTCGTCCGGATGCGTGTAAGATTAGTCTGCGCGTGTAAGTCTGGGAACAATTTTCTCGGCAGAAAAGGCATGCTGTGCAACCGGGATTGCACTGTTTTCAAACTTGGGCGATAAGGAACCTACAGCGTTGAAGTCGTGAATTGTTGAGTTTTGCCGATCCACTGCCTTTATGTCATTATTCTGGGCGAGCAAACCTTCGTCGAACTTGGCAGTGTCTTGCAGATATCTCATGTGAAAGAGTTGTGAGCTGCCAGAATACACAATTGAATTAGAGCGCCTTGACGGCCACTACCGCATTTTTGTTGCACCGCGCGAGTTTTGACAGAAGTAGTGGTGCCAAAGTCGATAGGATTCCGATCAAATATCCATAGACACATCCGATGGCATCTAAACAACGATTACGAAAGTGTTCAAAATTGTGATGAGTTTCTTTGGATGTGACTTTAACAAAATCTCGATTTTGCAAACAGCACAGCTCGTTTGAAGGCCAGAAGCGGAGGAGATTGGCTTCTGTTGTAGGACAGCTCAAAGCATTTACTACCTTAGTGACACATCACTAATCGCTTTCTGGCGCACTCCAAAACGGCCACTCACCTATGACGAAGACTTCCTTTCCAAATTATGCAGTGTGATAAGGAACTGGATTGATAGAGATCAAAACTGGTGGAGTATAAAAGTTAACCGCTTGTACCTGGTTTTCTTATTCGAATCTACTCCTCCGGCACTTCAGGGGGTGCGGGCAGGCATTTCTACAATATTCCGAAAATCTTCCGTAATCGCGATTGTTCCGCTGGAACAAAAAAGTAGATTAAAGGTAGATTGAATCGTACAGTAGATGTGCAAAAAGTAGATCCTATCGTACAAGATGCTCTTCTCGCTTAGTACTCGTAGGGGTTGGTGTTCAGTTTCGCACTTGAGTTCGCGGCTTCAAACTTTATTTTTTAAACTGAATAGTCTTCGGCCGCAAAGAATATCGGTATGTAAGAAAATCAATAAGTCAGTTTTAAAAAATCGAAATTCGTAACTATTCGCAAAGACATCCAATCACTACCAACTTCTCTTGAAAAGAGCATGTCATAGAACTTGAAGCAAAATAAATTTAATTTTTAGTACACGTTTTAGCTTTAATGAGAAAAAATCGAAAAACCGCTTTTTGGGTTTTTTATTCACATTATACCGCTATCGTGTATACCCTCAAAGAGTTTTGACTTAAAGGCAGTGTCCGGGCACGAAGTCGATTTTGAGATTTTGTGCTTACCCGGGCCTATTCGCTATGCCGAATCCGAAAATCCACATTGGAGAGCGCGAAAACGGCGAAAAAGGGCTTCATTACTGAAGGGAAATCAGCAAGTGAGCGGGGTCTTCCCCAAGGTGGATTCAAGGTCCCAGCTTTCGGAGCGATCTTTCTAATTCCCGTTTCAAGTCATTCGTTTGCACTTGATCGATAGTGATTCCAGGACGGCTAACGGATTAGAGAAAATTGCTCTGGAAGCTGGAAGCGTGAATTCACAGTGGGAAAGACCCCGCCCACTTGCTGATTTCCCTCCAGGGTTAGAGCCCTTTTTCGTCGTTTTCGCGCTCTCTAATGTGGATTTTCGGATTCAGCATAGCGAATAGGCCCGGGTAAACACAAAATCTCAAAATCGAGTTTTTGCCCGGACACTGCCTTTAAGCGCCATCAGAAAAGCGCAAGATTTGCTCTCTAATAGATATGTATCACATCAGACTATTTTATCGAAACTGGGTGAAGTAACAGAATTTCAAAAATTTGGTGAAAGAATTATGCATCAACCTAATACATCTTACAGCCCACACATACGCTCATATGTCAAAGCAACGCTGAATTCCCACTATACTTTGGTCCGAATCGAATAAAAAAAATCATTTGCATGAAATATTCCAATACCGTTCGAAATCCTAATTTCGAATCCATTTTCAAATGAAACAACTTAATAAATACATGCGCTGCTTCCACCAATCATTAAGTCAAAAAGTTCTTCTGATTCTTCTTGAAAATACTAAATTTGGATGTGAGTGGTTCTTAAGCTTCGTTCATACTGATCCCAAAGTTCGGAAACAGTTCCAGCACAGTGCTCGAACTGAGCGTTGTGCTAGAACTGTTCCCGGATTTCGGGATCAGTATGAACGCAGCCTTAGTGCGCGATGGCGCCAGCTATCAGACACGCTGTTCGAATCCAAAAAGTTATGAGCCAGGATGAAATTGCGAAAAAATCTGTTGTGCTAAAGGCTGCGAAAAAACACGTATTGCAGACTATAGACGCGCAAAACTTGCAGACGATTGATTTTGAAAATCGATTTCCTTTGTATTCTTCAAACGAAACGTCATCTGCTCTTACATGCTCCGATCCCTGGGGCTCTTTCTAATTAATTAAGTAGTTTTTCAATTTCAGCAATCAATTGAAAGTTCTCACTTGTGTCGAGACAGCCTGCTCATTTCTTCGAGAAAAGCATCCGCGTTATGCCTAATCGGTAGTCTAAGGTTGTCAACACAAAGTACCGTATTATCTTGATTGACAGCCACTTATGATGAAGATATAATTGAAGAAGATTCTTTCTACTGTTGTCAAAATTTTATAACCAAGTTTATGAAATTTAGCTGCGGTGAACCTTTGTTGCGCTGAGCATAGAGACTGCCTCAAACAAAATATAGACTCTGAAAAAGAAGTAAAAGAATGTAATGCTGATCTATGTTTATGCTTAGAGGTAAGCATTTTCAATGGTAGTTCGGTAAAATTGAGCGTGGGGTGTGGCGCTACACCTTCAGCCTTTACGAAAGGGGAGGGAGAATTAAGGGAAGGGGTTTCAGCACCAATTCAAGGTAAAGAGCTATACTTGTTTCGTCCTGCTTCTAATTACTTACTATAGTTCTATTAGCAGTAATATTTTTGGATAATAGTAACATCGGCCTTGCTCAATGTTTAAACGCGTCTTGATAAAACTCATAATTTCTTGTGAAGATAAGAAACTTGACTCCGAAAGTTTCAGTCAGCACGTTTTTGACATTCACTCCATTTACTTTGGGATGAATGTCTGATTAGAATGTATAGTCAAATGTTTACTACATATCACATAAAAGATAGCTACACAACTATTAAGTTTGCTCACATCCATTGAATTGTTTCAAAACTTTAAAAAATCTCCTTCGAGGCTTTCCCTTTTGACACTGGATGGCTCAAAACTTCTCCTAAATTTGTGCACTGTAGATGGCAGGTGCAGAAACTTCGGCTGCCACTGCATTCCACTGTGGTTACGACCGCCTGACAATGCAAAATTCCTGAAGAAGTCCAGCGCAGTTTTGCCGTAACGAAAGTGTCAATCTCCCGCTGGCTGTATGGGTGCTGGTTTACTATTTTGAACAAAATTACGGGCAGGCGCGAGTGCCCATTCCGTGATCCGTGAAAGTTTGGAGCGGATGGCCCAAACGGTCAGCAGATCTGCATCTTTCGAGATCGATTCTGCTATGCCCGACATTGCCAAACTTGTCAAATCAGATACACGAGCTCCGCTGTGCCCTTATGTGATGTACAAACAAGTATGGAAATGATGGAATTCTGCACGAATTAGTGTGATTCAGTCACAGCTTTCCCCATTTAAAAAGCTTGATGTGTATTGTTATTCACAGAGCTGGACCCCATCGAAGTAAGAGACTTTTGTCATTCGGGCACGAAAAAAATGTAGCTTCATAGTTTGCCGGGTTCATTTGCAGCTTCCTATCGTAACCTCGATTCAATTGTAACTTAATATGTGAGATTGCACACTAAGCCCTATTAGGGACGGCACTCATATTAGTAACTTCCCAGTAAAACATTTTCTATCCTAACAAAATGTAGAAATGTGTTCTACTGACTACTAACCTATAACCAACGAAAACAAAAGAAGCAAGGAAACAAGGGGCAATCACTGGGAATGAACATATGCGACCTGTCATCTATTTTAAAGAGAGAGGTTCATGCATTTTTTGCTTCAAAGAGCACCAAAAGTTAATTTGCTTCAACAAACAGCTGGTTTGAGGAGTTTTCAAGCTCTTGTTCGTTTCAAATGGTAGTCAGGGAATCCACTGATCCTTCTGGATAAATGAGGTGAAAAGCGCTTCCGTAAACTTTGCGCAATCGCTAATATGGACGGACAGACTCCAACCTCAACATAGGCTTGCCATGCTTTCAAACTACGAAACTCAGTTTGCAATGTGCATAAAGTGCTGAATTCGATCCATTGCCGAAGTGGTGATGCAGCTTTCGCAACACATTTCAGATTTTCCCTAATGACGCGGTAGCGATTTAGACCTGAAATACTTTCCACGTGAATTCTCTGTGAGCAATGGGTTCAAGATAATCACATATCTAACTATTTTCCTCTTTGTCTCATGTCAAGTTCTACCCAAAGAATGGGATTAGCTAAGATTTTGAATTTCTGAGAGGTTTGCTGCTCTATCTCGTAATCTGAGTTAGCATGATTATGCAGGGTGCTCCACTCAAAATTCACTGGATGACAACCGCGGCTGAACCATTATGCCAACTTCAAATTTTTTTTCCTAACTATGCATACATACCTTCGATACATAGAGCCATGTACTCTGGTAACCTTCACTTTGAGCGTCATGGTAGAACACAACCTGCACCTGGGGAGAAGTACAGAAGTCATCCGGGCGAAGCCCCGGAAATTATGCATAACTAATGACATAACTGTATAGGGATATTCAAATGAGGCAAATATAGCAGTGACATTCAAACGAAGCTCAAAAAAACCGAAGGATTGCGTTTTTATGGCCTTTTTTGTTGAGAAGAAGGTTTTATTCAAAAATTCAATCAAAAACTAGGGCAAAATTTCTTAATTAACCTTTCTCTGAACTGCGGTTGAATGTTGGAAGTTTATTAAAGCCGCTAGAGTTTAATAAAAACGAAAAACTGCGCTCAGATCTTGCGCAAAGAGTCGCCATATGAATGCTGGTCTATCTCGTTATGGAGTGATTTTCAAGACCCGCGACGTTGTCAGTGCTCCTGGCCGTCTCATGAGGATCACAACGATATATAATTTTGCAGGGTTTCATTGAGGCCCTGCGAAGATCCACGACCAGAGCCAAATGCCCCGTCGGCTCTGGTCTGTCTCCGCTGCTCGTCTGCGTCTCCGCACGCTGCGCGCTACCTCGCTACCTCAAATGCGGGGCGCGGGGCATTTGGCTCTGGGACCCTTTTCTTCGTTGTTCGGAGCCCAATTTCGGTAATCTATATATCATATTAAAGCTCTTGATCTCTATTTTCACGCTGACAACGTCGCGGAACTTCTTTTTAGGATTTAAACGAGAAATCCTCGAAAAACGGAGTTTTCGAAAACCTCTTGTTTTTTCTTCAGTCTAACTTTTTTCACTCGGTTTTTTTGTGCATTCGATAGGTCTTGTTTCTGTCTACGATGTAGACAACGTCGCCGAGCTTACTTCTTTGCTTATACCGGCTTTTTTGTGAAAAATACAAAAAAGTGCGTTTTTCTTTACCTTGTTCTCTTTCTGTGCTTTTGCAGCGAATTTTTTCCAGCTTGGACGATACTTGCTCAGAATGATGAGCGGAAGAATCCAGACAACGTCGCAGCGTACGAAACGACTATGCGGGGGTGAAAATTTAAAGGACGCATCAAAAATCGGATTGGCGTCGATGTGCAACACAACTTCACAGACATGTTTAACATGTTCAATTTAGTTGTTGACAAGTTCTTCTTCTTTCGGTCTCCCAACTAACGCCACAGCTAAACAGCGCTTTTTTGACTGGAAAAGAACTTTGTTGTTGTTGCCACCCATTTTTACCGGCAATCCTGGAGACGAAACTCTGCGTAGGAAACCACCAAGTTAAGGTTTCAGATTTGGTGATGCGCTAACCTCTGCTTTATATGAATTTTCTAAGTTTTCTAATTTGATTTGTATCTCTAAATTTTCGTCTATTTTTCTGAAACAACCTTCACTTTTTATAGGGGGCAAGAACTCAAACAACTATCACTTTCTAGCCCTTGTCTCTTGACTATCGAAGGTATGTATGCATACAAGTTTACTGTTGTACAGCCGACGTAATGGCTACATTACAGTATTTTCTGTTGCTTGAAAATTGAGTTTTGTGGTGCAAAAGCGTGACAAACCTATGCTAAGGTTGGAGTCTGTCCGTCCTTACAAAAGGCTCTTGAACTCACTAATCAAAAATGCTTAGTGGACTCCATTACTATCATCTGAAATAAGCAAGAACTTGAAAACTCCTTAAACCGGTAGAAACACACCGTTCTAAAAAGTAAAAAAATGCGGTAAACATCTATCTTGACATGTCGCATATGCTGCAAATGTTTCATAATTTATATGTAACTGTACAAAAAAATTTGAAGTCAGAGGACGCGATGGCGTGTCGTGTCTTTATAATTTTGTCCAGCTTTCGATAAGGGGTTTTTCGAGATTTCCTATTTTCTTCGTTCAAACTTAACAAAATTGGAAGCCGTTTTGATATGTTATGATAGGTTAACATGCGCACCACATAGCAAAGTTTCGAATAGATTCAGCAACAAGAACGCAAATTATGACGATTTTTAGAGTGTCTTTATGATTATGGCCAGCACTGTATTGTTAACTGAGTCAATATCCATATATGCACGCCAGCAAAACAGAGTTATGAGTTCCGCCCAGATTTCAGGTTTACTGGGTTTTGACTGATTCATTGGGAGACCTTCTTACTAGGCCACCTAAGTTCATTTTATGGAGCCCTCCCCACATCGGGAAAACGACGCTGAAGGCACCTCGAAAATTGGTTATCTTGCGCGTTTCAACATGTTATTACAGACGATGCCTCCTCCCCCTCTTTCTGAGGTGCCTGACAATGCGGCGAAAGTAAGCTAAAGTTAATTTGTCCGCTTTACTTCTATTCTTATTCTTCTATTCTTTTTATTATTATTCTTCTTCCAACGGATTTGAAGTCATTATTCTTGTAGGGGTTGCGATTGTGATTTGCAAAAATCAGAGACCCAATTCACGGTGGGGTACTGCCATTGAGTGCACAGGGGCATAGAAGCACAAATGAATATGTAATGTGTAATAATATGTATGACCCTTGCTTACTCAAAAAGTTGACAACGTTTTATGAACTTTAATAGTGCCAAAATGCGAGCGACTGAATCGCACAATTTTTACAAGATGGTTTGAAGGAAGAGGTTTTCGTCCGTTTCTAAATACTTAATTTCATGCATTTCTCGTACGCAGTGCCTCACTCTCAATAACATAGAACACTGTAGAAGCTTTTCATCATCATTGGTCTTAGGGAAGGGGTTTATGTGGCAAAATAATAGGAGCACAGGGTAGTATCCCATTGTCGCGCACCACACCTCTTGCTCAACTTTACCAACCCAGCTTATCAGGCCATTCTGTACGTCCGTTTAGGTACCAGCCAATGAAGATGATGGATGTGGCTACAAAGTTTACGAAAGCTGTTATAATGCACTCATGAATATAAAATTTATAGTAGTCAAAATGCATTTTCATCAGATCGGTTGTCCATATAGAAATTTTTCTAAGCGCCAATGAAGGACGTTTTCCAGAGGACACCTACGAAGCTGTCATGCCTTACGGATTTGTTGAAGAAAGCGTTCGTAATGTCTATGATGAATGTGGAGTTGCACAGAAATGTAAATCTTGACCGTTATTTGGCACTTCTACAAAAAAAAAACTAAATGTTTAGATAGTACGAGAGCCTGCGCAGTCAGGCATAATGAATGCCATTTGCAAGGAATGCAAGATTGCGAAGAAGATTTCAAGTATTGCATGGTTTGCGCAAATATGAAGATTAATGAACCAAGAGACCAAGAGGAAAGCTGTAGTCTGGCAATAGCGGGACTCAAGCGGGACGGTATGTACTTACAAGCTCACGATAAGTAGTTGAATCGGTGCGAAAGTTCTTGTTCTTTGGACATTCCGTAAAGTAAGGATATACATTTCAAGGTGTATCCCATGCAAAATTTCTTCCCCTCTCTGGGAATCATGCTTAACAAAATAAATTCACTCGGAACTGGAAAGGCTTTGCTAGGCAGCGGATTTTGCAAATCTTTTACAAATCAAATCATCTTTTAATCTTTCGGCTGGCTTTTTGCATTTTGGAAAAAAATCCTCAAAAGCCTTGAATTCTGGAAATATCCATAGCATGTAAATGCATTGAACATTGGAAAGTCAAAAATTTGAGGTTCCAAACTCAATTATCACTCGACTTTGTTAAGTAGATAAATTTTGCCTGCAAATTCCACATGTATCGCAAAGAAAAGAGAAGGATGCCACAAAAGCAGTGAAAGGCTGCGTCGCAGGACCTGAATGGTTCAAAATCCTGTATTACGAGTTTCGAAGAGATCATTAGTAAAACTTAGTTGCTTCACAAGTATGTTACATCCTAAAAACAAGGCAGAGAAGTACAATAAAGAAGTTAGTAAAATGTTTGCCCTATCCGCTGGCTAATGAAGGTTCGAATTTCTGTGTAAAACCCTGCACATAGATAAGGTGAAAATAATATTTGTAATCTTTGGCGATCAACTTAAAGGCTACTGCATGACGATGGCGCAGAAGCAGTATTAGTTGAGCGGGCGCGAAGGCTGCGTGCCGTTGTAAATCCTGCGCCTCATGCGCTCTGCGACGAATAAAGCCGCGTTCGCGCCCAAAGATATTGCGGCTTCGTCATGCAGCAGCCTATGGCTTTATCTGGAGGAATTATTTTGCGAGCATAACTAATGAAAAGAGGAATATCTGCACAGGTTACACTTTGAGCCTCTTTACACTCTACGGGTAGGTTCGAAAAAAAAAAACAAAAAACTATTGCACCGACCTCATGATAGATTGGCAAGATAGTTTTTGCGTAAAACATGCAAGCTTCAACAGCTATTCAAATCCTGAACTCAACTTCATCATTTTCTTGAGATGTTCAAGCGTATTTTTCTATAGATTAGCCATCGAGATCAAGGTTTTTAAATATAACGATTCAAAATTTGTGTTCAGTATAATGCCACAAAGTTTCGATGGGCTAGCTAATTCGAGAGCACATGTGAAAACTTCAAATATAAAGCAGTCTCTGCGTTACTATGGCAGGCTTTGATCATGCGTGGATTAGAAAGACAAATGAAATCGTAAATGTTACAATAAAGAAAAAATGACTTACCGTTTTTTCAGAGGAAAATATTAGGTTGTACCAAAAGTTCTGTCGTTTCATTTTTGAAAATTTGTAACTTTGCGCTGTTTCAACGGATTTGCTCGACTATAATTTTTATTAGAAAGAATAAGTCTTTCTCTTTTAAACGCTGCTTTGCCGAGCTTTTGCTTCACATTGGGTGCGGAGATAAAAATGGAAAACTAAGACCATGTAAACTCTGACCATTTTAAGTTAGGTCACCAAAAATCTGGAATGCTGCAGAAAAATCTGAAATCGTCAGTATATATTTTTTTTCGCCTACCCTTTGCATCTGTAAAAAAATTGTGCTGTTTGGACGTCTCTGTGAGAAGTTATGATTTTCGCGAAAATTGACAAATTAATTAATTTTGGCGTTTTCCATAGTAAACTCGAAAATCATAACTTCTCACAGAGACGTCCAAACAGCAAAATTTTTTCACAGATGCAAAGGGTAGGTCAAAAAACATATGTACTGACGATTTCAGATTTTTCTGCAGCAATCCAGATTTTTGGTGACCTAACTTAAAATGGTCAAAGTTTACATGGTTTTATTTTTTCATTTTTATCTCCGCACCCAATGTGAAACAGAAGCTCCGCAAAACAGCATTTGAAAAAGAAAGACTTATTCTTTCTAATAAAATTACAGTCGAGCAAATCCGTTGAAAATGCGCAAAGTTACAAATTTTCAAAAATGAAACGACAGAACTTTCGGTACAACCTAAAAGTTCAAGGCCAAAAATTTGAGCCTGCTTATTTGAAGAAAACTGCGATTTTTCGCTGCAAAAACGTAACAATATAGAAAATATTTCTGCGAAAAAAACATATTCACAATTTTTTGTTTTTGCCTTGCCTATGAGATCAAAGCCTGCCACAATAACCTATAAGCTGCTGCTACGTATTAAATTTTTCTCAGATTTTTCGAAATTAACTGCCTCCCTCATTCTCTGCCACCAGACTCCAAATAGCAAAGCGAAACACCATATCTGAAAGCTTCGCTGTAGCTAACTCATAGAAGTTACCGCTGAACACTTTATGGAGCGCAAATTTTTTACTATTTTAAGAAAACGAAATGATGAATTTATGTTTGGCTTGGAGCATTTGAGAAACTTTGTTCGAAGTACGCAAGAACCTTTGTGAAAAATCTAATTTGCCATTAGAGACTCATTGGTCAACGTAGATCTTGAGTACTCGATTTTTTCTCTTGGCCAATTTCACAGCTCAGTCACGCTAGGCTCCTTGATAATGTACTCTCCCTTTGAAGTATGATTTCCTAAAAGTAGACTTTTTAAAGTACCTCTACTTGTTTCGTGAAACTTCGGTGGCAATATACCAATAAATCATCGTAGCAACAAGTCTTTTTTATAGAATGTTTAGCATTTATTTTGTGCATTTGCACCAAATGTGAGATTTACAGTTCGGCGGTCTAATGACAAACTATTACGGAAGATTCAAGAACTAGAAATAGATTTACAGGGTTTGCCGGCAACTAATAGAAAAAATGATGCGCTAACGTATTTGGGCCAAAATGCACAATGCACAAAATGTGACTGCACATGCAGCCACGGAAGTGAAGGACCGAAAACTAACTGCTCATCGTCTTTGAATTCCGCGCATAGAGTGATGTGTTTACAGTTCTTGCATTCATCCAAAATTGTTGTCTCATCTGTTCATATGAATGAAAAGTTCCCCTTCACTCACAACCTGGATATTTAGCCAGTCTTTTGCGATTTTTTTCACTCCCTTAATTATCCTTCTCCCCTATGCATTCTCCACAGATTACGGTAGCGTTTAAAATACCGATTGAGTCTTTTATTAATATTAGGTCTTGAATTTGTTCAAAATATTTGTCATAATACACATAAAAAGGGATCCCCCTCTCTTATTCAGATTTTTAGCAGGTCTGCGATTTTTTCCAGCTTCCCTTGATCACTCTCGGTCCTCGATGCCTCCCGCCCCTCCTGCTCTTACAAAAGTGCCATCTGAAACATTGAGTGAGTGATTTTATTTATACTAGTTTTGTAACTAAAGTAAATTTCTCTCAGCAACACATGTGAAAGAAGGTTGTCCAACTTTAGCCACTTATATACCCGTTCTTGTCACAGTCGCTGTCGTAAGCAATTACTCTTAATGTTAATAATTTTGCAAAACCCAATTTCTAGATATGTATGGCAGGTTGCTTCTGCACGATGTGTCTATTATTGATGAGCAAGAAGGGGTGGAAAATTGGATCTAAAGGTGTGTTGAGCCTATAATTCTCATGGTTTGTAGTCGGTTGTTGCCGTACGTTCGGCAGGCCATCGTGGAAGTTCGACCGATATTGTGGACGCTCGCCCGCGGTGATAGTCATTCTCAGGTATTAGTGACCGCTCACCCAGTCTTTGTCGGCGGCCCGGTCAGTGGAGGATAGCCCGGTCATCATGGCCGCTCTTTAGGACATCCGGTCCTTCTTGTCCCATTTATGTCAATTCCTAATGGTGTAAGAGCAATATCACTAAAAAAATCAATATTACTCCTCGTAACCTTTGATTAAACTAGCTTGGCTCCGTTAGGGCGAGGTTTTGTGATCTAACTGAGGCCGCTCGCGCCCGCGACGCACCTGCGTCTCTCTCGCGCGAGTGCACTCTGATCACTACCTAGCCTTAATTAGGTCACGAAGCCCCGCCTTTGCCGAAGCCAAGCCAGTTGAATCAAATGGGTAAATACTGAGATTGAGCACTTCTTATTCATGACATGCCCACATCTCGTATACAGAGTGTCCCTAAAAGCTGTGCACGCTGTTTGATCGTTAATAACTCTCTTTCTTTCATGTATTTTGTCAAACTTGAAGTACCATTTCTGTAGAGCGAGGACCAACGATTTACAGTATGGAGCGAATCGCTAATCGCTCATTGCTGTAGGATTACGGTATGAACTTTCAGCATACAGCGTCACTATGGAATAGGCTTTCTGACGAAATAATTTCAAACAATCTGAAAATTTGTGTGGCAAGGTTTTCAAGCGTGCTGGTTTCACTACATGAGTTTGCATGAGTTTTTCAAGCTCTCTTGATGGCCTATTCACATTTCTGACGAACATTGGAAAGAAGTTGTCAAACTTTGCCATTTGACACCATCCACGTAGGTTATTCATCGACCGCACGGAGACCATGTTCGCGATCGCGACTGCGCAAAAACGTTTTTTCAACCGGAAGGTCCTGCTGACGCTAGTTAGAAGCGTTTGATAGCATCAAAGCTAATTCAAAATACAAGACGATATTTTCAATTAATGGCCATTTTAAAGGCAGCGTCCAGGCAGATCTGGACCTATGGGGATTTTACGTGGAAAGTACTTTTGGGGCCCTAACCAAGTTACTGCCCAATCGGCAGCTCAGGTAGTGCTTCAACGGCTAAGATATTCCTCTCAAAACTGGACCCCGCGACCGTATTTCGCATGGATTCATGGCGCAAAGCGTGAATTCTGGCGCGAAACTGCCATGAATCCATGCGAATACGATCGCGGGGTTTAGTTTCGAGGGGAATATCTTAGCCGTTGAAGCACACGATGCGCTGCCGCTTGTGTAGTGTCTTAGTTAGGGCCCCAAAAATACTTTCCTCGTAAAATCCCCATACGTCCGGATTTGCCTGGACGCTGCCTTTAACTTGACCCACCTTTTTTTCTTACGATAAAATGGAATTGTTCTGCTCCGAAAAGTATTCGTCGTAGAATGAGTTGAGCCAAAGGCAGCATTGTCAGCATAACATTGCAAGTTTCTCACATACTTCTCTTCTAATATTTTTGGCCTCAGAAAAAATAACACTTTTCCTTGTAGACAAGCACGCCATGATACCCAACCGCAAAAAAACAACAAAAGAAACTGTGAAACTTGCAACCTGTTATTTCAGGAGGCTGTACACTCGATGACAGATGCCACTCATGTCATTGACAGGCCGCGTTCCAATAATAGGGAATCGATCATTTGTGTTTGATTGTAACTGAACTTTGAGTTCAGGTTTCACATAGTTCCGTACAATCTTCATAAAAATGACGAGTCGTCATGATTTGTAGCAATAAAGCGTTTTGTTCCTCTGATGACCTAATATATCATACGGTCTGCCCAGGGCCTAGCACGAAGTGGGCAGACGGGGTTTTACAAAACGAATTCCCCTTTGACCCCAATAGTTTTTACGATTACCCCCTTGAGCCAAAAAATGACGCTTTGTGCTTGTGGAACAAGAGCACCGGCCACACTTCGCCTGAAAGCGCTCAAAAGCGCCCAAAATGCTCAAATTCCTCTAATTACTCCTCACTTGTATCAAGATAGAAAACAGGAAGAAGAATAAGCAAGGAAAATGATGAAGGAATGGAAAAATATCGAAGGAAAGCAGTCATAGGACTGAGAGACGCCGTTCCCGCGCGTATCGATTAACTGGGGCGCGCTTTCCATCTTAGAAAGCTAGGCTGCTGATGCGATTTTGGGCTCTAACAAAGACAAGAGGAGGAGTTTAGGAACCAAAATCTCACCATATAGTAAACTTTAGGTGAAAACAACAGAATTATGTAAAAAATTTTGAAAGAATTATGTGAATTGAAAGTTTTGCTCACCTCAGGTGGGCATTAGGTGGGCAATTGCCCACCGAATTTGGAAAAAAGTTAAGCACGATCTTCATTCACATAAGTTTTTCACAATTTTTCATACATTGTTCCTTAGTCCTACTGCGCGTATACACACCAAGTCTCGCGCGATTTCGTTGCCTCTGCGCTGCAAACGAGCCATTTTTCCATTTTCTTGATAGGGGAAATTATCAGAAAGAAAGCTTGCCACAACCTTCATTCACATAATTTTTCAATGAAACTTCTAAGATAAGCCCTGCAGGCCAATGTTTATGCACCTACCAAGTTTCATGCCGTATGGTCATCTGTGCGCTGCAAACGAGCCATTTGAATTCACATCTTCATTTACCAGTTTTGCGAAATTTTTGGAAAAAATGCTTATTACACCTCCCATTCACATAAGTTTTTCATAACATTTCATGCTTTATTTCTACTAGTCTCTCTTTGTTCGCTTACGTAATTTGTTGCTATATCATTACGCCTGATTGAGAACTGATCATGTGATAATGCTGTTCGACGGCATCGCTCATGCGACGTCGCGCACGCGGCAATTAGCGGCAACGCGGCGTAGTGCGCGCGAAGTCTGCTGTGCTTTGAGTTTATGTAAACTATTTTTCGATGAATTCGATGTATAAAGTAAGCATATTCGACCTTCTTTTGCTTGCACTTGGAATCCTCTTCCGGGGCTCCGCCCCGGATCCCGCAAAAACGATATCACCATTGGTTTTTCCCCAAAACGATTTCCAGCTTGTCATTTGCCCACCTCGTGCCGGGCCCTGGGTCTTCCTGCAAAGAATTTTACATATGTTTTACATACATGCTATGTTCAAAAGTGGTACTATTCTTTGAAATCAACTTCTACTATGAGAATACTTGGCTCCTAGAAAGGCGGTGTTCAGGATATGTGTATTTTCTGAAAACTAGTCGGGAAAAATGAAAGGAGCTTTGCCCAAGCACCAGCTCAAATTATTAAAGGATGTTTAGGAAGACTTCACGCGAGCTAACAGGTTTTGATGCGAAGCAGATGCTTATTTGGTTCTTGGTGTTTTCACACTAACCGGTTTCGGGGGCTAGGAACTATATAGGTAGCCAGCATAGCTTCCTTGGTGCCCCTCATCAGTAACCCCCTACGGCAACTGTTATCATAGTTGTCCTGCAGGACTTGACCGGGAGGAATACACTAGTAACCAATGGGCTCCTGAGATTTCGCTCTAGCATATTATTATCTATGCAGTCTATCATAGATTTTTCTGAAAATATCTCAGGCTCTGGTTAGATGACTTTTCCAGACCAGACGCCCTAGCAGAACGGGTGCGCGCAACAACGGAGTATACATGTTGACTAAATTTCGCCAAAATTTTGTCATTCAGTTTATTTATAAAAACTCTACTAACTTTTGAAATGGCCTGATATTTTCTAATTTATGTATAAGTGGAAGGTGTACTGCTAAAGGAAACCCATATTCACGCTCAACAAAAGTCTGTCGTAGAATGTTCGTTAGAAAGTATCCAAGCCATGACATTTCCAACCATTCCTTTTATATATCTCACAAAGCCTAACTATTCTATCTCCAAACTTTGAGAAGTTAGAGCAGTTTCTATAGACTCTGAGAACTTCAGAGGTGCAAGTCAAACAGTATATGCTAGGTAGGTTGAATTCTTGGAATTGAAATTAACGGCTTTTTAATGCAATCATAGTTCGAACAACCTTGACTGTAAGATGTTCATTTCTTTCTGATCGATAATGGTCAGAATCTTGCTATGTACTCTTATGAATTTTGTAAGAAAGGATGAGTGACGTTCTACTTACTTGGTTGATGTGGTAGGAGAATGTTTGAGAGTTGTTAATCATCAAACCAAGATCACGCACGAGAATGCGAGGCTCAAGAACGATACCATTACCGCTGTAAGTACAACAAAGAGCGTCACCAAGGTGCATTGCAGTGTTCCTAGAAGGATTGACCAACGTAATCCTTTTCTTAGACCACAATACCGCTTTCTCAATTTACATTGAAAATGCTATGTTGTTGTCACGATCATGACAGTAGTAAACCTTGATATCATTAACCACCTTCACGATTCGAAAACGCTATGTTCATGTTTCTTTTCGTTTCGTTCCTTTTCTTAGACGGAGTTTTGATATGCGTACATGATCCACTAGCTACTTTCCCTCGGTCCAGCCCGGGTTTATTTACTGCGAAGGAGTGGATGCTGCATCAGTGGCCAGCATATTTGATGCACTGCACCCTCCCCCCCCCCCTTCCAGATGGGATATTTACCTCGTGAGAATCCCCGTTCGATTTAAGACTCTCTTGTGATCTTGACACTAAAATAGCGCCCCAAAGATTATGGGGAAATAAACCACAAAAGATTGATAAATTTTCATTTTTTCATTTTCTGAAAATCAAAAATCGTTGGAAGGGCCCTTTGAAACGAAGTAAAAGGTAGTGTTTGTTCTACTTTGATGAAAACGTGTGTGCAAAGTCTGGTGTCTATCGGTTCACATACAAAAGTTTCTGTTCCGTACATAGGAACAGCTTAGAAACTTGGTGTTCTGTAAGGTAGAAATCCAATATGTTGGGATGTTCAAGGTACTTAGGTAGGCCAGCTACGTATATCAAAGAAGGATTGAAGGATACCATCTCGCCTTATTACACTACCGCAAAAATAACAACTCGGGTATTGATATCTACCCGATTTCATACCTCTACTAAGATAGGATGTTAACTAAGAGATCAAGGACTACGTGATGTCGATCATTAACAACCTAAAGAGCGCTAAGCTCAAGAAATTAGAAAGTAAGGTAAATAGTAGCATGGCAGAATGCCGTGTTGTTCAAGGGGACATGACTATCTTGCAACCACCTGGATAGTTTTTTATAGATTATCTTTTCAAAAGTTTCCCATCAAGGCAAATGGGACGGTAATTCGATATGATGTTTCTAATAACTTCCATGGGTAGGTTAATTAGGGTCAATCTTTTTTCCAGTTTGTAGGCACATCACCACGAGAAGAGACGCATTGAAAAGGTATACAAGAACGAAGCTGAGAGTTTTTTTCTACAGCTCCAATAGTTTGTGGAATACCATAATAAGTAGCTATAGTAAATTATTTGAATTTTTCAAGTTCATGTACAATTACCTGGATCAACCGTATTACTTAGTAATAGTTTGATTGGAAGGAAGTATTAGAGGCTACAGGAACTTCATGCTAGCTTCAGTAAAAAAAAGCAACTGAAGCAATTTGACTTTCACAAATTATTTCGCATATATGCAGAGGTCAAGAGGCACGTTTCCTGTGCTTGCATGGAATATGCGGTTCTTCATCCATCTCTTACGTTTTGAGCAGCCAAAGATTAACAGTGAATTGAGAATGTGATCCAGCTCTGCCTCCAACGACTCAGCGTAGTACTCCTCATTGCTTTCGTACCGGTTAGATTCCAACCTCTCTACCTTTTTTCCTTAACAATCTTTCATTTGCTCAAAAATATCTATCAAACAACAGGATAATTGTTGACGGATATAGAACTTGGCCTTTCAATAACAAAACTGAGAGAGTCTGAGCAGCCGATGGCAGCCATCCGTCAGCAGATGGCAGAAAATGCTCATGATATCTTACTCACTCGAGCGTATCGAAAAAGCGTTAGATCCAGGATAAGCAAAAGGATGACTTATCTCCTCAGATAATCGCCGGAGGCAAGCGGTCCGCAAACTCGCGCTTTTCCGCAAGCAGTCAGCAGAATTTTGGAAAGTGGCCAAACTTTCAGCGAGCGGACTTCATATGTTTAGCGAATATTATCAGGCGGACAATGTTGCGGGCTTGCGCAAGCGCTCATCACAAATTTACGGGCGAAGGCAAACCCTCAACTCAAATAATTGCCGGGGCAGGCGGTCCGCAAACTCGCGCTTTTCTGCAGGCGGTCATCAGAATTTTGGGGCGTGGCTAAACCTTCAGCGGGCGGCACTTCCTTTACGGTCGCATATTCTGCCAACGGGCAGTAATACAGCATTTTTTGCAAGCGCTTAGCAAATAATTTCTTTCATCGAGCGCTGGCCAAACGTTCAATAAGCGTTCGGACTATTTTTACGCACTTTCGGGCGTACGCCGAGCAAAGGTGAGACACTATGTGGCAGAGGTGTCATCGATGGTTCAATACCCCCGGGTTTGGTGTACCTTTTTTCAACGGAAGGTACCCTTGGCGGTGCGGTCCTTCACAAAGGACCGTGCGGATCCCAACAATTTTGCATATTCTCGAGGAAAGACCGCGAGAATGCGGCCACTGGGCCCAACCTATCCATAGAAAGGCCGCGGTAGTTCTCCGAACGCTCATCAAAAAATTGGCCAAAATTATTTAAAATTTCTGCAAGCGGACGTAAGAAATCAGCAAGCTATCTTTCCAGTGCCCGCTTGCTCAAAATTCGCATGGCCGCCTGCCCCCGGCGATTATCTGAGTGGTTCAGACTCGGATGCCTCTTGCCTTTTTGGCTATCAATCTTGCTTATCACATCCCACATCCTCTGGCAGTCAACATGATGTACTTAATCCAAAGATAATTCATTAACAAAAGCTTTGCTACCCGTATCTATGGCCACGAGCTCAGATTATCGCCGGAGTCAGGGGGGACATGCGATGTGCAGGCTTGCACCAAAAAATAGTTCGATTTTCTTGCAGTCCGCTTGCAGACAATTGGGAGAGTTTTGTCGGAATTTCCAACGAATGCTAGGAGAACAACTGCGGCTTCTTTATAGATTTCGTGCGGCCCAGTGGTCCCATTCTCGCGGACCTTCCGCCAGAATATGCAAGGTTATTGGGAGCTGCACGGTTCTTTGTGAAGGACCGCACAGCCCGTAGGTATTTTCCGCTGAAAGAAAGTATTCCAAACTCGGAAAATTGAACCATGATCTATGACACCTCTGTTATTTAGTGTTACCCTTGCTCGGCGTACGTCCGAACCTGCGTACAAAGAGTCCAAGCGTCTGCTGATAGTTTGGCCGCGCTCACTGAAAGAGATTATTTGATGAGCGCTTGCAGAAAATTATGTATTGCTGCCCGCTGTCAGAACACGGAGGTACCGCTCGCTAGAAGTCTTGCTGCCCAAAATTTTGCTGACCGCTTGCAGAAGAGCGCGAATTTGCGGACCGCTTGCCCCCGGCGATTATCTGAGAGGGGCGCTGCTTTTGATTATGTTAACAGGTAACGCATATAGAAGTATCATTCACATCTGTTTTAATTCAAAGTAAAACCTTCACTGTTCTGACATCACTTCATTTTCTTACAAAGTAAACAATCACACGGTAACTTAAGAGCCAAACATACTTCACCCGATTTCGCGACGCGATTTGGCAATATTCCAATTGTCCGTAACTCATTGTAAGTAGATTTAAATGTACAGAAGATAAGGCAACTATGCATGTGCAATTTGCTAATATTGGATCTGAAGACTTTTGGAGAATTGCCAAATCGCTCGCGACTGAAATCGGGTGAAGTATGCTCGGTCCTTTGGGCATGAAAAAAGAGGTTCTAATGTCGTGAGTATTAACCGTAACCAGTCCCCTTTTATATAGCAGACAGCTACCTTAGAAGTTTTCATTTTGAAACTTCCATGAAATTCAAGAGAAGCACTGTGTTGTTATTCAGATGAGAATATGTGAGATGGAGTTTACTCCAGTCGTGTGTCGGCCTTAAAAAGAGCGTCCATGCAAATTTGGATGCACAGAATCTCAAGTGGGAGGTAGTTTTGGGGCCCTAACTAGAAACGGTCAAGCGGTAGCCCAGTCGCGGCTGAGATATTTGTCTCCAAATCAGACCCCCAATCGTACCAACAAATGACTTGCCCCATATACTCGCATGGTTGTATACCATGCCCCATCAGTTTGCGTGAGTCCCCGCGCGAAAGCATGCAAGCACGATGCAATTTTGGAGGCTTATCTCAGCCGTAGTGAATCATTCGCGCTACCGCTTGAGCGATGTGTTAACTGGCACTTAATGTTACTTTTCACTTGAGATCCCCATAGAGCCAGATTAGTCTATACGCTGCCTTTAATGCAGGTAAATTCTTGCCGAAAACGGTTGAGAACCTGTGCAGGGAGGGTTTATGACTGGGTGCTTCGCTCTCTATTTATCTTTAAGGGGCTGTAGTACCCCGACTGGAATGAATAAGAGCGCGTAAAGGCAGCATTTTCATTGTTTATGCTCACCTGCGGGTTTATTCCTCGGAAACTGTGGCTTTTTTAAGGATATTTTTTGCTTTCAGAGCTCACTAAAAGCCTGTAAATTTGCTGAGGAACTGATATTACAGTGCTAAGCAGGGAATGGCCACAACTTAACCCAGCCATACCAAACATGCTGTATATCGTGGACTCGTCTTTTAACGCTGATCACAAATGTGTGTTTATTATCTGCCAAGCGACTTTTTTTGAAGAGTACTAAGCGTTTAGTTGTGCGATTTCTCAAGTGTTCTGTGGCGCATGTCCACGGAATAGGTTTCAAAAACACTTGTCTTGGTTTTTGGAATATGCGATTTTTTCTTGTAATTAAAGTAACCATAGCCACTGTAAATCCGCGCCATCAGGCCGCCTTTCATGGAAATATATTCGTCGAAACTCGAAAAATTTCTCATATTTAAACGCTCACAACTCCTTCCAAATAGTCACTTGGCAGATAAAAACATATATTTGAAACCAGCTTTTTGAGATGAGTTCGATGGTATACAGCTTGTCTGCAATGGCTGGATTAAGTTCTGGCCATTTCCTCGTAAGCACATTTTCAATGGGACAAATGGGATGTGGAAGTGTGAATTTACGACGAATGTTCGCGAATTTTAGTTTACGATATCTTGACTTGATATACCACAAACAGCATATTTTGGCATTTCCTCAGTGTGGTAAAATGAAAGTGATTTTGGAGAGGAATCTTTTGAGGATCCTCCATGAGATATCACATAACACTGAAAAATATGGCGTGCAACTGCACTTTAATCAATTATGCTTAATTAGTGTGATGTGGATCCTTTCAGGAAGTATGGACTCAGACAATCGACCGGACCCCTCCGCCGGACAGTCCGAATCTGCCAGAGTCGCGCCGGACCCAGTTGACCAATGAGAGAGGGGCAAATGGGCGGTCCGTCGCGGTGACATCACTGGCAGGCAAGTGGGAGGCTTCTCCGGCCCTGCTGCAAAGTTACGCCATTTCTCCGGCGCGACTCTGCCAGATTTGGCGGACTCGCGCCGGAAAAATTTGCCCGGCGCGAATCCGCCAGATTTGGAAGAGCCGCGCCGGAGAAAATCGGAGGGGTCCGGAGCAGAAATGGGAGGCCTCCGGAGCAGAAAATGGGAGGTATCCGGAGCAGAAAATGGGAGGTATCCGGAGCAGAAATGGGAGGGCTCCGCCGGACAAATGGGAGACCCACCGCTGGGGAAACGCCGCGACCCTGCCATTTCTCCGGCGGAGGGGTCCTATCCGCTGCCTGAGGACAACGAAAAACACAGACACTCAAAGCAGTAAAAGAAGCGTCTCTTCACGATGCCGTTCTCAAAGGAATGCATATTGCCTATAATGTGCCTTCAAACAGAGCAGAGTTTACAGTGTCACAATGGCAAGAATGACAGCGTTTGGAAAGCCATAATTGCTTATGGGCCCCAAAGTACGTGTGCAACAGATAATCTGCCTTTTCACACGGACTTTCATATCATTGTTTTGCGTGTATGTATCTGCAACACCATAATCTCAGCTGCGAGTGGATGGAAGAAGGTGTTTACAAAACAACTTTCGGTTAACAGATCGTCACTGGATAATGATCACTTTTGCTTCGAATTCGAGAAGCATGGTTGTTACTTGGGTAAGCAGTGCATTCCTGGAAAGTTTCGCATCATACCTTTTTTCCCTTCCATTGTTAAACATTACCGCATTTTCATCAAAAAGATGCGATCTAGTTCTGAGTAGCAACAAGATAGCCTCGCGCAGTAGTGCGAAGTCAGCGTAGCATCTCGTGATAGTATCATGCTGCGTCCACCGTTTGTTTTTAATCTTTGGCTCAAAAGAATTCTGCGCCATGTGCATGTTCTTACCCAAACGCTAGTGAAGTCAGCACGTAGCTCCAAGACCTTTATTTGTTACAATTACTACAAAGACAAAGATAACAAATCTCAAAAGAATGACGGCCGTTTTTGCGTCAGTAACCTCAGCCGCGGACCTAGACTGTAATCGTGATTTCAGGTACAAATATTTGTCACATGTGGTATGCTATCAGCACAAGACCCTCCTAGAATATCGGTAAAGGACTGGTCTTGTGGATTCACCGAAACTCATAAGCAATTTACCTACGATTTATTAGAAGGCAGTTGCGCGAAATATAAAGGTAAGCTTGTAAATCCCGCCCTGAAGGGGCCAGTGTCGATGCGGCTTCTCCATCATTGGGGAGGCCGGCCGCTCCCTCGCTGCAGGGACTTCATGCATACAGAAGTGAAATAAAATTGTAACCCGTTTTTAGGTTGTCAGTATTGGATATTCTAGGTAAATTCATTTGAGGCACCGTCCGCACATACTGTGGGTTGTGAGATTTTTACAATAGCGAAGGCCCTAACTATTTGCTCAAACTCACTGCAAAGAATATTCCAAGATAATCGCTCCAGAGGATGAAAGCGGCCAGGATGGCTTTGCATTGGCTTTGTATGTTTGGAGCTGATGGTGTCGAAAGCTAAAATAAATAGAAAGTGTCGATTTAACTACGGTAAACGGCCGATTTGTGACAATTCTAGGCATGATTTTTCCGATTTCGAGTCACGCGTTTGCGCTTGTCTGGTGGAGATGCCAGGACGTCTAGCGGAAGCAAGAAGATTGCTTCTGGAGTGGGAAGTGACTCTACAAAGTGGAAGGACCCGCCCACCTGCTAAATACTCTCCTGCGCCAGATGATTTTCGCGCTTTCTAGAGTGCATTTTCGGGTTAAGTATAGCGATTTGAACCGGCTCAGGTAAGCACAAAATCTCGAAACGTCTTCTTGACGGACATCGCTTCTGAGAGCCCGATATTTTACCGCACTGAAATTCACCCTAGTTGGGTAAGCCGTTTACCGTAGTTATCAGACGACATATATACCTAATGTAGAGCCCACTTTCGACACCATTAGCTTCAAAATCTTTTCGTTTCAATGACCTTTGTAATGAGAATTGACGAGTATGTCGTTGCTTAGCAATTTCATACCACTGTGCTCGTTTATCCAGCTCTTTCAAGTAAGATTGGATAAACTATGCACATTGGGAATTTCTGACATGAAGTTCAATAAAGAAAATATCTTACTTACAGGTAAAAGAGTTTTCAAATTTCTCGTTTCTCCAAGTTCAAGCTATAACCAGAGTTAAAAAAAGCGAGCATAGCACCAAGAAGCGTCGCTCAAAAACAGAACCTCTGTTTGAGGATGAAGTTTGGGCTTCGGGTGCTGCGGTCGGCTGCAACAGACGTGCTCTAACTCAAATTCGAATACCTCTAGGTGCCTTGTGAAGGCGATGCCCCAATGCACATCATTTTTCCAATCTTACCTGAATATAGAGTGGAAACGAGCATAGTAGTATGAAATCGCTAAGTAACCACAAACTCTTCGATTCTGAATGCAAACGTCATTAGAACAAAAGAATGAAAATACAACTTTATGAGCTTGGAATAGATTTGAGGTGCCGCTCTCTGCCGCTATTGGCTCTAGCTCAAAATCGAATTAGTCCACTAACTATGTACCCAATGGGTGAGAATAACTATATTTGGTCTGTAACACAGCATCACTTGGACATGAATTTCTGTCACAAAAAAGTTTTTTATGCAAAGTTGAGGCTTAGTGGACTGCTATTGTTTGCACCTGAAGAGTCATCTTTTGTATGAGTCCGGACTGTTTGTTGCATAAATATGCGTCCTTGGCGGTAAATTAGCTTTCCATTTAGTATTGCAGGCTTTCAATGCGCACTTTAAAACCCCATGTTTATTTCTTTTTCAAAACTGAGATATAATCGTCCTCACGCCATTAGTCGTCTGGTGGATAAATTCAAATTTGAACTGGAGCAGCCCGGTTGCGCTAGATCGCAACATAGTCAGCTCTTAAAAGAATCTTACGCATGTATTCCTTTTGCTTCTTTTCCTGTTGTTGACTGACATTTCTTTTGTTTGGATAACGTTCTTAATTAGGGTTGACGGTTTGTCGTCATTCAGCGATTTCTCAGATTACCATACTCGTTTCTTTAACTCTTTCAAGTAAAATTAGGAAAACAATGTGGATGGGTTGTATGTAACGTGAAAGTTATCGAAGCAACACTGAAGCATAACTTATAAGAAAGGATTGCACGAGCAAGAATTCCTAATCTTCATCGTTTCTCCAAGTTTACTTAGACCCATAGTTCAAAAAAGAGCGTAGTAGCAAGAAAAAATACACAACAACAAAAATCGTTGGCTGTAATTACGAACAATCTTAATTGAGGGATTAGGGTGCTGCGCTCTAGCGCAAACGGCCTGCCTCAAATCCAAAGTCATCCACCGGGCGACTAGTGGGATAAGCACGACAATACAGGTGCTGCCTGATCAGTCTTATTTCAGCCGAGGTAAACATTTGCTGTGCTAAGCATAAAGACTGTCTCAAACGAATCCAGAAAAAAGAATTCGAGAAGAAAATGAAAAAATGCAATTCCGACTTATGCTTATGCTTAGAGGTAAGCATTTTCAATCACACTTCATCAGATTTTAGAGTTGGGCCAGTCGCAGCGTACGCTCCCATGCACAAAGATATGGGGCGTACGTCGCGTATAACGTCGTGTACGTTGCGTGCGCCGCGCAGTTTGGCTCAACCCTTACATGGGTTGCGGCGCTACTTCCGGAAATAGTTTAAGAAGAGGAATGAGGGGCCAGGTAGGAGATGCTATGAAGATGACGGTGAACTATCCTCTTGCCTTAGTCTTCCCTTCAGAATTTTTCACTACTATTTTATAAGCATTACATGTCCTTGCCAGTGCTAGACGTCTCCGTACATATGCGTCATCAAATACCCAGATTCAGGTCTACAAATCGATTAGTATCCATCTTTGAGTATTAATGAAATGTTACCCTATTTTCAGGTGTATAAGCCGCACTTTTTCAAATTTTCAAGCGAGCCGTTCAGCCGCTTCTATGTTTCAGAAAGCGATTCATATGCTGCACGAATCTCTAATGCAATACGTACCACGGTAAGGGTCCTTTAGTCAGGCAGTCTTCTAGACTGTTTGGGCTGGTCAATTTCAGAAAAAAAATCCCTTGCGGCTTATACACCTGAAAATAGGGTAATTACCTATTTCCGAGCTTCAGAGCTTCGAATATCATTTAGACGCAGATTTAACTGATTTTATAAAGGCTGCAAATGTTGCAATATCTAAAGGTGAAGTATACCTAAACCCCTACAGTAAATAAAAAAATTGTGCCTTCAAATTTCGTTCATATGCACTTACATACAGGCTGAGGGGATGGAAGCTATAAGGAAAGGTCCATATACGGTATGCTACGAATTTGTATTTCTCTTTTCCGGAAGCTTTTGTTCACTATTACCTCAGCACAATGGATAACGGTGCATTGCTAAGAGTGTGTTTAGTATTTTGTATGACCCCGAAGATCGTCAAGGGATCACTCACTGTTCTACGAAGTCTTCCTTCTAAATTCTTTACGAGAATATCGTGAAATTGTAACAATGCTACGCATATGGTGATATAAGTGAAATCTCAACATGACTAGTTTATGACGTATAACTTAAGCCTGCGAGTCTCGGTCTATCAAAAAGTTTACAACTTTTGTATTCCATTTGTCCTATCGAAAACATGCTTTGCATTGCAATAGACAAGTTTAGGCTTTTTCATATAGATTACCAAGAAAGTTAATTTCACGTTCTGGGACATCTCATGCTATGTCCTACCTTTCACTGTACTACGGTGGTAGAGGGATATAACATCCGAAATATGGGAGAAATAAGGAGATAAAGATGTCTAAAAGAGGTATAATGCGTTTTCTCGCAGCTCCATCTCTTATTTTGCAAGGATGCACAGACGGACGTGCGCAAGGCCACTATGCAGAAAGTACCTGCGGCGAAGGGAACCGCTACCATTCTTATTTTTCATGATTCTTATTCTATTCTTTATTTTTCAGATACGGACACTCAGGTGATCAGACTTGATAAGAGATGTTCATTCCTTTGATTTTATTTGAAAAACGAACATGAATCAAATAAAAGCCAGGAAATTTACAAGTTTTTTGAAGTTTCACTTTATGCGGTGCAACGGATGATACCGCACGTTAAAATCTGAAAGAGGAATTTTTCTGAGTATTTTCATGTAACTTTTGTAAAATTCGCGACCATCGAGGCGCGACGTCGCAACGCGGCAAAGCTGACGAGGCTGCGCTCAGATGATCAGACTTGATAAGAGAGCGCAGCCTCGTCAGCAAAGCTGAGGAGGCTGCGCTCGCGCGATTGCCTCATGCTCACGCTCACCGGTGCAAAAATGGAAAACGATCGTAAAGCGCGCATTGATCGGTTTTCACTAATTGGGAGAAGCAAGAAATAAGTTCAAATTTATTTTAATACTACCGGATTTCAACTGGTTATCCTTCTTTATACTTTCTGATGTACTGACAAAAATCTAGCCTGGAAACTTTGCTTTTGCAGAGAACTGACCCATCTGGCAATGAAGGCTTAGGGAACGCGCGGCTTTCGACATACACCCGTGCAAAATCGGTGCGGGATACAGTACGCCGCCATGGTCGACGCGCGTGCCGACTATGGCGGCGAACTTTGGCGGCGAGATCTTCGTAGTATAACGCACGTCCTCCCTACAATAAGCTGGACATAAGCCCCTACTGCTTATCTATACATAAATATATAAAGCGCACTGTTGGTAATTTGTTAGTTAGTGTGTTCTTTATAGAAACTTTTGCTTGTGAACCAATCAACGCGAAACTTTGCGCACTTATGTTTTCGACACGGGTTAGGCTACTTTTCGTGGCGAAGTTCCAGCTCCTTCTATTGATTAATCGCTCTGAAGAAAAATGAACTCTTTATCAATTACTATTAAACCAGTTCCAACTTTCGTGTAGTAGAACTCTTCCATTCCACGGTAGGGAAATACGGTAATTCAAGGCAATCAAGAGATATCTGCCTTGTGTTGTACGAAAAACAGAAAAACGCAGAAACGCAGTAAGTTGAGCTTTTGGAGTGCTCAACAGTCTGGCTTTTGTTGGCCACTTAAACCCATGGTGGGGGCAAAGCTGGACATACTTAGTTCATTATAAGCGCTACTATTTCCGCGCTGCAGGGATGTCATGCATACGGCATACTGTAGCCTTCTCAGGATTTCGTTGAAGGAGGGGACGATTTTATTCTATGACACTTCTAAAAATATTGGGAAATACTTCCCAAAATCCTCCTCAAAGTTGTACAGAACTCCAAAATTCAAAAGAAAGGCGGGGAGAGGGGACCTCTCTTCTCTCTGCCACTGAGTCCGCCCTTGCTATACTTGCGCACAGTCCCCGTCTCTACCTCACCAAGTGCCGCATGCACTAACATCCCCGCGGGGAGGGGATCGCAGCTTAAAAGAAAGCTTTATATTTCGAAACTCCAGATACCTGGATTTCACGTTGTTTACCTATCCGTAAGTATTCCTATTACCCTTCACTATGAACATGTTGAACAGGAGCGAGAAGCTGTACAAACCGCATTTTCCAGCTTTTGTATGATCCCTGATTATCCCTGGCGCTTTTCTTCAAAGTCATTTTTCTTTCTCTGAAGTTAACGAAGAATCTCCAGAGTTGTGCAGATTCTCTAACCCGACAGTGCTAAGCATGTTGCTGCTAAGAACAAATGATGTTTTGAAGTCATGAAATTTGCGATGATCCACAGGTCGAAATTTGAGGCTTACCGAAAAACTCGACTTTTCAAAAAGTCATTTGTTCTCATCAGCAACATGCTTACAAGGGAATGGTCAGAAGTCGAAGTGGCCAATCCAAACAAGCTGCACACCATTCGATGCAGCATGGAACGCTGATTTCAAATCTGCCTTCCATACCTGCAGAGCGTCTTTGTAGGCGAAGTTATGAGCAGCTTTACTGCGAAAAAATCGTGCACAAAAATTGTGAGATTAGACACTATTGCCCTTTTAGCTCACCTTTGAGTATGGGCCATATGAAGAGACCTTGTTACATGTTTTGGCCCAACACTGAGCCGAGAATGGCTCTGTGCGGCCAAGTTTGACCTTTACACGCACGATTTCTTAGCAAAATAATGACCTTTAACGGCTTATAATTCCATCTACAAAAGCGCTCTGCAGATAAGGAAAGCATACTTAGAGTCAGCGTTTTATGCTGCATCTAACGATATGTAATTTGCTCGAATTGGCCACTTCGATTTCTGACCATTCCCTTGTTAGCAGTATTGTGTTAGATGTTCAGTACAACTTTGGAAGGTTTTCGTTGACTTCGGAGAAAGAAAAATGACTTCAAAGAAAAGCGCCGGGGATCATCAGGGATCATACAAAAGCTGGAAAATGCGGTTTGTACAGCTTCTCGCTCCTGTTCAACATATTCATAGTGAAGGGTAGTAGGAATACTTACGGATAGGTAGACAGCGTGAAATCCAGATATCCGGAGCTTCAGGATATGAAGCTTTCTCCTGAAACTGCGATCCCCTCCCCGCGGGGATATTAGTGCATGCGGCCCCAAGAAGAAATGGATATTTGAACACATCAGCCAAGGGGAAACCGCGGCTTCAGAAAAAGCTTCTTATCTTGAAGCTCTAGCCCTTTCCAAGTGTTTCTATTGTATTCAACATAAACCCAATGGATAGGAGCGCAATGTTAATTGAACCGCTTTTAGCTTGTATGAGCCCCGAGGATCCGCAGCTGTCGGTCGTTTTCCCTTTCAAAGCTTTTTTCCTTCCACTGAACAAAATGAAAACGTTCAAAAATTGCTTACTACCTAATTCCACGCGTATAAGGCGCACTTTTTCGATTTTTCAAGCGAGCCGCTCAGCCGCTTCACTGTATTCGGGAAAGAGATCTTTATAGCGCACGATTCTCTTAAGCAATGCACAGCATGTTATAGGGTTTCTGTGTCTGGGCTGGTGTCGATTTTCGAAAAAAAATCCCCCGCGCCTTATACGCGTGAAATTAGGGTAGTAAGAACGGATAAGTTGTTAGAATATCGAGATTTTTGGTAAACTGCAAAAGACTTGCGGTTGACCAAATTCTCGTTATCTTCATACAATTGTGTCTATTAGAAGCATAGCACGTTAAATTAGATAATTAGCGCAAGATGTTTCCATTTGGTGCCTTCAGAACTGATTGTGAATCGTTTTCTATGAATCGTTTACAAAGCGATAGGTCAAACTAAGAAATATATCAGCTGTAATTGAAGTGGCATAGATCAGAGGATTTTTACCTATAGACCATCCCCTAACAACATTAACTTGAAAAGGAGAAATGACTTTGAAAAAAAAGGCTTCATCCGCCGTGGATCACCGGAAGAAGCATCTGTTTGATATGTTTATAGTAAGAGGAGTAAAAACACTTTCGAATGGAGAACTATGTGAGGTTCGGAATTCCGGAGCTTTAGACTATGAGACATTCTTTTACCCCGCTTTCCCTTTCCCGTCGGGGATGTTCCTGCATTCGGCTTCAAACCCTAATTCAACTTTGTTTCTATATATGTTGCAGGCTCATAATTCATAAGCAATATTGGTAAAAGTCTTTTGGTCAAGACCCCCACTCTGACCTATTTGTCAGTCCCAATTGTGTGTTTACTCCAGGAAGTAGTGCAAGCCGCTAATTGCTATTTGCCCTGCAATACTCTCAAAAAAATTGGCGCTCCGTTCGCAATAAATTTTAATCCATTAACGCGTACTACTCCCTGTCCGTGGAAACAGGTGCTCGGTGCAGGTCTTTACTCAGGTAACCTGCCTTCAATTTGAGTGCCGAGCTTAGCACAAAATTTGGTGTTTGTTTCTTTCCTCGCTTGCGGAAATTTTAACGTTTTCGGTGCGAAGACTGCGTATGCAAAAACTAGATTTCCCTTGCATATCTTCTCATTCGCGACCTTACTCTTCTTATATATAAAGCTGAATGTCTGTATGTTTGTATGTATATATGTACGTATGTTCCGAATACAAATTTTTATTTCGAAACCGTTCCGGACCAGACTTGACACATATACAATTCGGGGTGGGGCGGATGCCGTAGGCTACTTTTCTTTGTCGGTTAGTATCGATTTTATCGATTTTTATCGAATTTTTGCATAGTTTCGCCTATGGGACCGGTAGTTGGCACAAAGGGTGAGTGAGCATGCTGATTACGAATACAATACAATTTTGCTAGCTTTTGGAATTATCCCTTACTTTTATCGATGTTATCGATTTTTGGCAAAGCAGCCCCTGCGGGGCTAGGCTTGGTGTGCAGGGGTAAGATGGCATGTTGATTACAAAAACATTATGGGGGTGGGGTCAGGGGCAGGAAATGTGCAGCAAACGTGCATTACATGGCTGCTCCTCACTTTTTAAACTTATATAACCTGAATCATTTTTCTTCATAAAGAGTGGGCCCAATGGAAAGAGAACTGTGAGAGAAAGTAAGACGGCTGACATGAATCAGACTACTTGATCAGTCGTACGTCTTCAGACTTTTTAGCTACCAGCTGAAAGGAAGGATGGATGTGGCTACAAAGTTTACGAAAGCTGTCATAATGCACGCATGAACATCAAATTCATAGAAGATAAAATGAAAAATATAGGTTGATATGAGAGCATTTTACTTGGAAAATCAAAAAAAAAGGTTTCAGACCACGATTACAAAAAAGTAATGCCTCACGGATTACAAAGAAAAGGCGTTCATAAAGTCTATGATACATGTGGAGCTACACAGAAATGTAGATGTTCAGCTATTGTCGGCATAATTTGAAGGATTAATTCAGATACCACAAGAGCTTGCGCGGTTAGTCATAATGATTGTCTTCTGAGAGGAGGAGGAAATGAGTGCACAGATGAATTCAAGCATTGCATGGCTTGCTCAAATGTGAAGATCATTAGCTCACAGCAAGGGCAAAGGTGTCAATTGGCAATAGATGGACTTCAGCTAGACCGTATGTGTTTTCATGTTGAATGTGCGCTCGTGTGGTAATTTAAATGCCACTAACAACCTCTTACGGTCATTAGCTAGAAGCTAAAAAAGCCAACTTAGTGATTTCCGTACAGCAAAGGTACCACCGTGCATATACCATTAACAGTCTTATCAGGTTGACAGCGCATCAAATTCCATAGCTTTCCCTTACCTATGCGCCATCATATATTGTACGTTTGTAGGTACCTTTGCAGTAAAACTCTACAATTCTTTCGTTCAACAATTTAGTCAGCAATCTTTTGACGCTTGACATCTACTCACAAATTTCTTGCAAGCACGCATAGCACAAAGTATGGCTAAAGACTGAATTTCGCAATCATGTGAACAATTCTCATTTTATGTAGTCTACTGATTGTGCTATTGTTCTGCTGTTACCATCACTATCAAGACAGCGGCCTGGCAGAATGACAACTTTGGGATACTTATCGTTCGGTTCCCCTGAATGAGCTGAGTCCATGACTGGCTTTGCAGCTTCAAGAGATATTAATAACCCGCTTTTTAACGTGAAAGGTGCTGTTTGGGTGGGTCGCGAAAGTGGCTGCTGGAGCCTATAATCCAATCACCGCCGAGATGGGAACGGTGTACGGTGTCTACACTAACGAGCCAATCGCGCTCTAGAAAGCAGCCATACGCCATCCGCCCAAATAGCACTTTTCACGTCTGGAAAAGAGGGTTTTTGATACTTTCTGAAGCTGCAAAGCATAGTCTTGGACTTAGCTCATACAGGGGAGCCGGAAGGGTGGCAGAAGGGTGGCGCCTGAACGCAGCTCTTTGAACGAGTAAACCTAATTTTATAGCTTGAAAAGCAAACAATCTGTGCATAAACTCCAAGTCCTCTCTTCTCTGAATCTGGGCATTGGTGTTCAAGTTGAAGTTTGCTGTTTGGGTGGGTAGAGTGTTTTGCCGAGCCCAGATTTTTACGGTGAATCTTTTATTGCCTTACGTTTCGACACGTTTCGTCTTCTTCGGAGGCCTGAAAGAAGATTGCAGTTTTGATCTGTGAGACTACGCCGCCAAACGCCATTCCCGCACTCATCGAGTCCAGACGTTTTCCCATGCACAACGTACTGAGATGCACGTCGAAAAAGAAACCAACCCTCGATTCACCGCGATATCGATGTTAGTAGTCCGCACCGAAGTACTGGACGGTAGCCGCACACTGATGTTGTAGACGGACGGCACTGAGTGTCACTCGTGTGTCACGTCTTTATATGGGTAGGGCTACTTCTCGCATAATGATAGGAAGGGCAAAAGATCATCAGTTATCGTCAGGCATTCATTCTTGTTGTTGATGCTTGGGCACTTGATGGAAATCCACAAGGCTTCCAAGATTTTTCTCGCAGAAATTTCAGTCTCGTGTGCTAAGATTATACATTTTACATCAAATTCTGCGCCATTGTGTGCTTCGAACTTGTGCTTCCCTAACGGTGATACCAAGTTACCACGTCTTTTGTCGGCTAGATGCTCTCTGACTCTGATGCTCAACGCTCTACCTGTCTCGCCTATCATGACTTATAATAACGGGCTAAGGATGTTTACGTGACTTTGTGTGTGTGTTTGTGTGTCTGTTACGAAATTCGTGGAGCGTGTTCCAGCCAGCGTTTTAAGCCCAAATTTTGTATAGCGCATGCTACCTTCGTGAAAGTCCAACATGCAAAAGCATGAGTAGATTCGTTGTGTGGATCCCTCAGAAATTGCGCGCCGAACGGGTCCACCTGGCTTCTGTACCGCAAAATTCAGTCCGTATCACCACTTTTTGCAGAGTCGTGGATGAGTTTGGTAAGCAAATGTGCAAGCGATGGAGTTTAGCCAGAAAAGAAGTTTACTACGTAACGGAAAGGGCGCCAAAACGAATTGGTTGTGTAAATAGTCAAGTTTCCAAGGTTCTAGCCAAGCGTTTGAGAAGATTTTCGCACAGAGATGTAGCTCACGGTTATCATTACCTTTATGGCGACTATAAGTCATGACAAATCCAAAACCTATTCAAATTTGCGTCTGTCTTCCTGCGAAAAGTTTCATCCACGCGAAATCACCGATCTCACGTGAAAAGACTTTCTAAATGAGTGGTTGTTTACATTTTATTCGTGGTAGTCAGCATAGCGCGGTGAGTTCCAGTGCCACGATTTTACGAGAATGAGTAAGGCACATAGATAGTAGAGCCAGTGCGAACCTCTGCGAAGCAGAGGTGACGCACTGGTATATATATATAGCCTTACAGCTCAAACATTCTAATTGATATACAACTCCCCATTTCGCGCAATCTCCTACTTTTCCGTGTGGGCAAACAATACATTGTTCTGATATACATTCTACGTCGTATAACCTGTTTCGCACTAACTGCTTCCTGATACTATCATTCGGGATATTCACCAGCATAACATCATTCTGCAGTTGTGCTCGGACAATGCACTGTCTTATAGCTGCACTTACTCTGTCGGAGATGAAAGGTACGCAAAGTGGGATTTTGTCTTTGTCTTCGCGTATATTTTGGCTACGGATCGTACATTGTGATCGTTTTCGAGTCCTTAGACATGTGTAGCCGTTACTACGCGCAATTTCCGCTGCTAGCTGTCTCAATTCAAGACTTTCCTGTTCGCCGGTGCTTACTTTTACAGCCGTTTGATACATGTTCCGAAGAACCGCGCACTTCATTGCTGTAGGGTGCGCTGACTAGGCGTGTATTAGGATATTCTTCGAGTACCACTTCATTCGAAACGTACCACGAGACAGGCTTATCTGTGTGTTTAGGAAGGGAAGCCACCCATCGTGCGGGGTCTTTCTGGTGAAGCGAATGTACTGTGACTGCTGATTTAAGAGCTCGAAACACTCGTCCATTTCGGACTGTGTTGATGTTATTACGCAGCAATCATCGATGTAGCGACAGTACATTATGGGGAAGCGTGCTAGTACTGGCTCCTCTATCTTACTCATGAAACAAATCGCGAGGGCTGGTGCAAGTCGTTGACCCATAGCCAGCCCTCTGATCTGGGCGTAGTAATTCCCAGACCATTTGAAGATGTTACACTTTAAACATTCCTGGATGAGGGTCAGTATGCACGCTTTGCTAAGTCCAAAGGTGACCATATCGTTGTAGTAGACGTCCAGCATCTCGGAGAGTGCTTGCAGTGCAGCATCGTTTTGAACATTAGTGTACAAAGATGTTACGTCAAAAGACTCGATGACACTATTATGTTCAATATTCGCATCTCGCAACTGCTTTATAAAATGACGAGTGTTGGACAAATGCGATGGCACCTTTGGTAGTTCTCAGGCAATCGCTGGGGGCAGGCGGGCACCGGAAAAATAGATTGCTGATCTTTCGCACCCCGCTCGCGGATTTTTTGCTAAGCGATCAGGACTTTTCGGAAGACCGCTTGCTGAGTCAGCGGATTTTTGAGAGACCGCCTGTTGAATTTTTTTTTCGCGCTTATCTTTTGCAGATATATTGCTGAATCTCTGAGGAATCGAGAATTCAGCAAGCGGTCTTCCGAAAAGTCCTGATTGCTTTCCAAAAAATCCGCGAGCGGGGTAAGAGAGATCAGCAATCTATTTTTCCGGTGCCCGCCTGCCCCCGGCGATTGTCTGAGTAGCTGGCTTAAGATCTTGATGAGAAACCATGCTATTCTATCAGTGGGTCCGCCAACACAGCTTATTATGGGGCGAATTTTATAGGCAGCCGGTGACATAGAGTGGTGCTTGGACGATGATAACTTGTGAGTCTTGACCAGATGATAGAAGACTGGACAGTTTGGGTTGTCCAGTTTCAATCTGCCGATCAACTTCTTATTAAGCCCTGCAGCTCTTGCCACATCAACCCAGACTTCGTTCAACTTTTTGCACTGCATCTGGAAGTCTCGTTTCGTAGTCCGCTTGTAAACTGTCGCGTCTGAGAGGTGCAATTCTGCAATCTCTCGATCTAAGGACTGCGGCATTATTACAAACTCGCCACTGACTAACTACTGACCCTCATCCAGGAATGTTTAAAGTGTAACATCTTCAAATGGTCTGGGAATTACTACGCCCAGATCAGAGGGCTGGCTATGGGTCAACGACTTGCACCAGCCCTCGCGATTTGTTTCATGAGTAAGATAGAGGAGCCAGTACTAGCACGCTCCCCCATAATGTACTGTCGCTACATCGATGATTGCTGCGTAATAACATCAACACAGTCCGAAATGGACGAGTGTTTCGAGCTCTTAAATCAGCAGTCACAGTACATTCGCTTCACCAGAGAAACCCCGCACGATGGGTGGCTTTCCTTCCTAAACACACAGATACGCCTGTCTCGTGGTACGTTTCGAATGAAGTGGTACAGGAAAGGAAGCTCGAAGAATATCCTAATACACGCCTAGTCAGCGCACCCTACAGCAATGAAGTGCGCGGTTCTTCGGAACATGTATCAAACGGCTGTAAAAGTAAGCACCGGCGAACAGGAAAGTCTTGAATCGAGACAGCTAGCAGCGGAAATTGCGCGTAGTAACGGCTACACATGTCTAAGGACTCGAAAACTATCACAATGTACGATCCGTAGCCAAAATATACGCGAAGACAAAGACAAAATCCCACTTTGCGTACCTTTCATCTCCGACAGAGTAAGTGCAGCTATAAGACAGTGCATTGTCCGAGCACAACTGCAGAATGATGTTATGCTGGTGAATATCCCGAATGATAGTATCAGGAAGCAGTTAGTGCGAAACAGGTTATACGACGTAGAATGTATATCAGAACAATGTATTGTTTGCCCACACGGAAAAGTAGGAGATTGCGCGAAATGGGGAGTTGTATATCAATTAGAATGTTTGAGCTGTAAGGCTATATATATAGGCGAGAAAGGTAGAGCGTTGAGCATCAGAGTCAGAGAGCATCTAGCCGACAAAAGACGTGGTAACTTGGTATCACCGTTAGGGAAGCACAAGTTCGAAGCACACAATGGCGCAGAATTTGATGTAAAATGTATAATCTTAGCACACGAGACTGAAATTTCTGCGAGAAAAATCTTGGAAGCCTTGTGGATTTCCATCAAGTGCCCAAGCATCAACAACAAGAATGAATGCCTGACGATAACTGATGATCTTTTGCCCTTCCTATCATTATGCGAGAAGTAGCCCTACCCATATAAAGACGTGACACACGAGTGACACTCAGTGCCGTCCGTCTACAACATCAGTGTGCGGCTACCGTCCAGTACTTCGGTGCGGACTACTAACATCGATATCGCGGTGAATCGAGGGTTGGTTTCTTTTTCGACGTGCATCTCAGTACGTTGTGCATGGGAAAACGTCTGGACTCGATGAGTGCGGGAATGGCGTTTGGCGGCGTAGTCTCACAGATCAAAACTGCAGTCTTCTTTCAGGCCTCCGAAGAAGACGAAACGTAAGGCAATAAAAGATTCACCGTAAAAATCTGGGCCCGGCAAAACACTCTACACCTTCAACTTGAACACCAATGCCCAGATTCAGAGAAGGGAGGACTTGGAGTTTACTGACCGAAATACCGCCAAATTTGTTCTCTCTTGTACGAGAAGCTCTTTCGCTTCGCCAGCGGGTGATTGCAGTAAGACAGTCGATAATCTTCCTCCAACGCTGTAAGAACAATCACATCCTACCTGCGTTCATCTCAAAGAAAAAACTAGGAGCTCTTTGTGGCCTTTCCGAAGAGGATGCGAAGATAAGGAGATTGTATTATGATATGTTGAAGATTATCAAGGAAAGACGACGAGTTTTATATAGCACCTTATTGAGATGTAATGCTAAGGAATCGTGTTGTAAACGTATTTTTACCTGATGATGTATGGAGGAGGATTGAGAGCAGATCGAAACTGATCTGTGACTCTATTCGGTCTAAGGTTAAGTCCAGGCTCATTACGAAGTACGACCGACTCTCAGGCACACTATGTGGGACGCATTGCGAAAATGAAAGTCTTCCCAAGACTCACCAATTCCAAGAACATGTTGCTCCAAATGATTGCGTAAGTGCAAGAATCACGGTTATCGGTAGCATTCAACTAACGCCGCAAGCTGTTAAAATTCTTAGTCTCGGGTCATCGTTCTCGCCTTCGCAAAATATCAGTGCTTCCACTTGTCACAAGGTAGTCGGCAGCTTACATAGATTGCGAGATATGCTAAGGTTTAAAGCTGCACAAGAAGCTTCCCTTTTGCCACCAACGGGCAATCCTTTGCTAATGTCTATACCATTCCTACGTTCTTACTATAAAGAACCGAAACCAGTGCTCTCCGTCAAAACTGCAATCTTCTTTCAGGCCCTCGAAGAAGACGAAACGTGTCGAAACGTAAGGCAATAAAAGATTCACCGTAAAAATCTGGGCTCGGCAAAACACTCTACACAATCTGTGCATAGATATCCGTAGCTCCTAACATATTTCATACATTGTCAGTGAATGCGTTATATAAAAAGAGCAAAGACTGTAGTCAGAACTGCAAACTTTGATTTTGCATTTGATGTTTTTAAAATCAGCAGCGGAGCTTTTGAAACAACCTTTCGACGCCATTGAGATTCGGAAACTAACCCTGCTCATGAGAAGGGTGAGTGTTACCAAGTTCTATCTTTACCCCTGTCATTTTCGGAAACTATCCGTTTTCGACCTGTTGCTGTCTGATAATCATCGAAATGGACATCGAATTTTAATGCATTTTCGCTGACAACTTTTTTCGCCACTCTTTTCCCGCTCTCTCTAGATCAATGGAGATTAGCTTGCTACGAAGTGTTGTTCCAGATTCGGTGCCTATCACTTCACCAAAACCAGTACCAACACTATCACCAACATTGGGTAAGCTTTTCCTGTTATTTTATTTTAGCTTACTACGAAGTGATGTTTCAGCTCCGGCGCCTATTGCAAAAAATGTAACTTTACCATCAATGAGTAAGCTTTTCTTGTTATTTTGTGTTATGATTATGCTTAAGAAATTTTCAAGTAATCAATGTGAAAAAGAATTCTGCTACAGTTTCGGTTCTCAGTACAGCTGTTTTTGTCATCGTTGCATTCGTAAGCAGCTAATGTCTGAATAAGGTAGATAAGGTGCTCAGTTTTCAGCTATCTGCAATAGATTTGATCAATAACATGCCCAATCTTGAACAAGGAAAGCAGCAAAAAATGAATTTGGAGGTTTGTTATCTACGCAAAATAAAAAAAATGTTTACTATTTCAATTTGTTCAATATACGTGTTGTCAAAGCATTTGTACCCTATGATTCAACTGGCTTGGAAGCTGGAAGGTGGGGCTTCGTCCCAATCAAGTCTAGGTAATGATCGAGAGCACGCGCGCGACAGAAACGCAGACTGCGTCGCGGGCGCGAGCGGCCATAACTAGGTCACAAAACACCGCCTTCCAGCCGCCAAGCCAGTTGAATCAAAGGTCATATCGTTTGCTATATCTTTTGCCTCAATGTACTTTATAAAAGGCACTATTTTGTAGACTATAATCGCTTTTCGTTACTATAAAATAGAATGAACTCTTGCAGTACAAGGAGGGCCCCTGTACTAGGTTATTCCGAAAATTTCACCTAATTTTTAGTTCCCTTGTGTTCAACGCAGCTATTTTCCAAGAGTATTGCTCTTTTTTGTTCTACAATAAAAGACATTCATTTTTTTTTGCAATTCCCACTAAATTCATGTAATTTTTAACAAATGAATATCAAGCCCCAAAGCCATGTGCAAAAATTTATGCTCAGGAAAAATATTCTAAAAATTGATCCGCAGTGTTCACAATACTACCTACGAATAGTCTTCTTTTCTAGTCTATTCTAGTTTCTTCCTTTCTGATTTCGTTTTTCTTAGTTCTACACTCCCTTTTTGTGATGTAAAGCTGAAATATAATCAATAACTATATTTATAACTTATAACAAGCGAAAATATCAAACACACAATTTTTATTCCAGAAAGCTCTACCATCTACAGAACTAGCTGCTCATCCTGTGGACAAGTCGTATTTTTCGAGCAAAGAAGCAATCGAGTGTTTTTGAAATCTGTGACTCCAGTTTGAGACAAAATTCCAAATAGTTCCGTGGAATCTTGAAAATTACGTGTATCCTACCATGATTGTAGCAATAAACTATTCTGTTGCACTTAGAAGAGGTGAATTACCACGATATCCTTATTAGAAAAAGCTATTAGATAAACAATCAGATTTTTTGCAATGTCGTTTATCAGAATATTTTATTTTCAAATTGAAGTCTGGGCAAATCATAAGTTGCGTCATTTGCTCAATCAAATCATAAATCTTTATTGCAAACTTTTGCAATAGCATCCTCTACCACATTTCTTACCTCAGTAATATCACCATTCTATTGGCCAGAGTTTCGACTTCAGGGTTTAGTCAATTTTAGAGCCCTGCCCATTTTCTGGTAAACCCCGCCCACCCCGTCATAAGCTGCTAGGGTATATTTGCCTTTATAGCCCCTCCTCCTTTCTGGAAAACTCCGCCCATCTCGTAATAAGGTGCCATTCTACCAGTCGTGCATTTGTTTAATTGAATTACATCCTATATAGAGGTATCATTTTCATAATTTTTGTCTGCTATTATTACCATTTGATTGACCAGACTTTCGCTAAGGTTTATTTGCCTTTATAGCCCCTCCTCCTTTCTGGGAAACTCCGCCCATCCCGTCATAAGCTGCCATTCTAGCAGCCTGTAAATCTCTCCCAATTAAAGATATCCTATATACAGCGACCAGAATTTCGCCTTCAAGGTATATTTGACTTAATAGCCTCTTCTCTGGCAAAATCCGCCCACCTCATGAACTACCATTCTAGCAGCCTTTGCATTGGAGTTAAAATTCACAAATTCGATCTGCCAAATTTTCCTAAAATTGAAACTTTTCTAGCATATCCTCCACAAGAAAGCATTCTGATCCAAAATTTTGTTATCTATTCGACTGATTTTCGAAAAATTTATTAGAGAAGATAGAATTATGACAAAGAAGAGTACCGGCGTATAGAAAACGGCGATGATGAAGTCAAATCTCGCTGATCATAAGCTCGGAGGCAGGCAGAAAACGCAGTTAGTCAACAGTTGATATAAAAGATAGCGGATAAGAATCAATCGATAGAGCAAACATTCATAAAACCTAATATGGATATCCAGTTCATAGAGATATAGTGAGGTAACTACAAAATAGTAAAACAGCAAAGATATGAGATCACTAGTCATTCTTATTATGTACAATTCATCGATATCGAATCAATAAATATATTCATATGTAGTAAGACGCGGAAAGGGATATTATAACTTGGAAAAACGGACTAGGGTGAGAAATTTTGTGAAGAAAAAATTGCTAGAGCATGTGTTAACAGAAGTAAAATTGAAATGCCATTGAAGAGTAATTGCACAATCAAAATAAGCTAGATTGTGAGGTTTCCTCGACTGAGAGGCAACGCGGCAAGCTTACGCGGCGCGGCTGCGCGAAGCCCGAGAGCGATCAATACTCAGCTACGGTAACAAATCGCGTCCCGAAAACCTCTCAGCCAAGTAAACTACTCGGCAACATTCAAAATAGCCATTGCATCAACAAATAAAACCTACATAGTTCTTTTTTTTCTGGCTATTATGCTAATCATCACAAATCTTTGGCAATATATTGGGCTTTTACAAATTTTTTCAATTTACAATTTCTCCGCTGCTGGAATACCGGCATAGAGATGATTTTGTCGCATGGCAGTGTTGTAGAATTGAGGCGATGAAAAGTCACTCTTGGCGTATAGCATATCAGCTGGTTGGTATTTTGCCGTTGCCCGAGAGGTTCCTGGAAAGAAAAGATTACGGTAAGATGGACGAGTTATAGATCCCAATGATTTGCTTTAGAGCGATTTTTTGGAGGTGTAACCCATTTCCACGACATGCTGGGCCATTTCCATACGGGACCGCCATTGCGCGTGGCGCATGCGCGACGTGTCAAGACAAGTCACGCAAGCTGCCTATTGGGTACTGTAGTGCAAAACGGCCTTCTTAGAATTTTTTGCCGTAAACTCGTTGTAGAGGTTGCATTTACAGAGAAATACAATTGTATTACATTCTTGTCCACTGTCTCTTCATTCACCCTTTTTTTTCTATCAACTTGTACTTACCTAGGCAACATATCACATTTTTCCACGAGATAAGCGTTTTTCGGCTACAAACCCATACTCCACTAGTAAGTCCCATAACGCACATACAAAATGTTTTCACCATTGAAAGCATGAATGAAGCATCTCCTGAAAAAATATAAAATTTATTTTGCAATCAAATTTCGAAATACATGAAAATTTCTCGAGCGCACAAATGAAACTATACAAACCTGCATTGATTTTGCGATTTGCACAAGTGCAGGTGATGCTTTGTTCCCAAAGCGGACGATGATGTTGCTCGTAAAATAGCGATAAAATGACGAATAAAGCCGGAAGCGTATAGAGGACCGAAAATGTGCCAATCTTGGTCATCAAATTCGTCAATTTCGAGGCATTACACAAGCCAGGATGTTGCTTTTGGACCTAAATTGTATCAGTGTACTAGCGAAATGCTGGGAAGGGTTTTAGGTAGTTTGAGATGTCCAACAATTTTTTAACAATTGAAATTGATAACGATTTGTAATACACGATCTCAACCCCTTTGCTTCAAAACAGAATAAAATCGCAATCAAACGAAAACTTTTGGGAAAGTTTATACCCTAATTCAATTGGCTTGGAGGCTGGAAGGCGGGGCTTCGTGACTTAATTAAGGCTAAATAAAGATCAGAGATCTCGCGCGCGAGAGAGACGCAGACTGCGTAGCGGTCGCAAGCGGCCTTGATTCGGTCACAAAGCCCCGCCTTCCAGCCGCCAAGCCAGTTAAATCAAAGGTTACATTCTGGTAGTATTTTGAAAGATTTTCTTCGTAAAGATTTTACCGTCGGAATAGATGAATTTATTAGAATTATTTCGTTCTAACAACTTTTTTATTTTTAGTGTTTTTCACTCCAAAAATCCTCTTCTCACTCATGAATTGATTTTGACTGAACATACCTCGTTTCTTATTCTCCACAGATTGAAGAAGCCAATAAAGAGAAACAGTACTCCAAGCGAGAAGTAGACAATCATAGGTCCTGAAACGAATTATTTCAGTTGATTCGGAACAACTGTTGTATTTTCAGACAAAAGTACGGTTTTCCTGTTGCACAAGCTCTAAAAAGTTGCAAATTGTTCGATTTTGGGGGACTTATAGTTTTTGTTCTGTTTTTTTTTTCATCGACAAGGATAATTATTGATTATTTAGGCATAAAGTTTTCCAATAAATGAACAAATGACACGCAGATACTTTTTTGTGTAAATGTTACCAAGTAAACAATTCTTACCTAGCACAAACAATCTCAAGTGATTCACATCCGTATTTCCAACATAGCACATTCCAGTCACAGGATCTCCATCTATGGCATTGAAGACCTAAAACAATAACCTTTATCTAGCAAATTATCATTTGACCAGAATGTTTTTCAGCTTCAGTTGAGCTTATTTTGAGGAAGACAAATTAAAAATTGCTATTTGATCATGAAAAATTGATTTAGGCAAAATCTGGCCGCTGTCACCTCTTTTTTCACAATTTGTAGTCCTTCACACCAGTTAATCAGTGCGCTTTGGCTTGAAACGGTTTTTGACATAGGTCAGACGGTTTCAATGAGGCGCGCTTTGTTCGAGCAGGTCAAAAAGTTGTAATGGGGCGCGCTTCCCTGCTTGAGCATGGATAAATCTATGTGAGTTTCGACAGCTAAATGATAATAAAGGCTAGAGATTCTAATTTCAGCTCAATTTATAGAACTTTCAATTTTTCAACGCCTCAATTTTCTTTACTATCTTTTCACACTTAGACTCATACTGCACCTCCCCCCCCCCTCACTTATTATACTGAGTATTTTTTCACCTCCTTCTCTTCCTGCAGCTTGTTGCTGTGCACTTGATTAACATATGATAATTTGGCCAAAATTGAAATGATTTTCAAACTCACCAGAACTACGACGGTTTGAGCAGCTGGTAGTAGCCAACCGACGGCATGAAAATGTGCCGAATAGCTGGCAATGGCTTCACTCGACCATTTCGAAGCAGCGGCTAGGACCCAGGATAGGGAAAGGATGATCCACCAAACACTGGCTGCCATCCCGAAGAAGTAGGTGAGGAGAAAAACCTAAAAAATTGATTTTTACAGTTGTTAGTGAGTGCGACTTTGAAGGACTCACCACAAAGCATAGGCTTCCATTCCCTTCATCGATTCCTTTGATCTTGTAGGCATCGCAAGCAACCTATAAAGAAAATATTAGGGTACCCCCTCCAAAACTTTCTCCCCCTCCTCCTCCCTTTGGCACCCTTGTGCAAACTAAGGACAATTTAGCACCTTGCCATACACTCGCGCTTATGTGACACCTCTTTGTGACCCCCCCTTCCGCCCCTTTTTTAAAAATACATAGCGCTAACTAACCTGCTCATGACCGACGGATACCCTTATGATGAAGCCGACAGCGACCATAAGTTGGCAGAAGACCAGCATAAATATTGGTCGTTCAGGATATTGGAATCGGTCGGTCTCGATGAGAAAAGTGAGGAAAGTAAAAGCTGAGAGGAAGAAGCACGCGAAGGCCCTGAAATGGATTACCAAGATAAGCGATTTTTTCAATTTGGATTTTAATTCGGTGAAATTTCCTCGGTTCTCTCTCATTGTTTCGTAAAATTCGAGGTAATTAGGAAACTCATATATTTATTCATTTCTTATGAATTTATTCGTTTTTCTAATGTTGGTTACTAATCGTGTTCATTTTTATTGAAACGAAAGTCGTTCAGATTATCTGGATCCAAGAATTTTCAATTTTTTAAATTTCCTCTTTATTGTGTGATCAAAAAATCTGTTAAAATTTTGAAAAAAACCTACCACATTCCCATCCATCCAGAAATAAGCTCTCTTTTTCCTGGGGCTTGCAATGATGGCGCTTCGCATGGGTAGGAGCATCTTGTGACATTGCCAACCTGGAAATGGGGTACTGTAGGTATACTGTAAGCGTGGGACTTCATTTTCAGTCAAAGAACTGCATTTGATTATCAAAGGTTCCAGCAAAATTATGAATAGGCTCTTTTTCTGGCATAGTACCAGTGTTTAATGAAAAACTTACTCTTTGGGAAGAAATGTTTTTTTCGTCTTGGCACTTTGCCAAAGTTCAGATGAATGTTAGTCAGGTTCGCCAGATGATTTTTGACTTTTTTCATCTTTGAGCATAAGACCTTACCATGGCCTTTGGATTATTCACAACTTGGAATGGAGCTTGACATGAGCAATCACATTGGTTTTGCAGATCTTGTACAGAGATTCCGACATGCGGCCTTGGCGCAGATGGTCCCGCAGAGACCTGAAAAATGAAAATTTTTGTTTCACCTTGTTCTATCTAACAATAAGTAAATGCCCTTAGGTGCATACCTTGGTGGTTTGCTTTGGAGTGTCCGGTGGTGCAGCACAGATATTTCCGGTTGTCGCTTGTTCGCTCATCTTTGGCAATGTCTCGCATGACAGAGTTTCCGGCCAACGGAAACCATATCTGGAAATGATTGTGTGGTTATTTGGGGTAAGTGCAAAAAGAGTAGAATTACTGGAGATCATATTTTGTAGTAATATTTAACTTACTTTGAGAAGTTATCTATATTTATAGAGTCCTATACCATTAACCCTAACACTTTAACTCAGATTACCGAAAAATGATTGTGGGGGACTTCCGCAGGACAAGAGAAGTTACAGAAGTTCCGCGGAATTTTAGCCATTGTCAAAACTCTCAATCCAAAGCAGAAACTCTTTGAATGCTCCATTTCAGCCTCTTTTTATGCGTAAATTTCATTTGAATTTATTGAATGGAACTTCCGCAGACTTTTGATGCTATGAGAGCCTTACGCAATTCGAAAATGTAAAAAAGCAGGACAACCTGGCATTGCGAAAGTTCCGCAGAATTTTGACCACCTGGAGACCTACGCGGACCAAAAAAGAAAATTCCGCTACAGGCATGAAAAGCTTGAAAAACGATACCATGAATCCTGCTGTTAAATTAGAATATTTTGAATCCCCAGAGAGATGCTGCGAAAATTCTGCTAATCAGTAATTTGCAGGTACTTTCAAAATTTTGCTTCTGGAAATTACTCCGCAATTACTCCGTCCGGGTTTCCCTTCCCTCGTCGATCCCAGCAAAGCTTTTGGGAAGTTCTGATGGGTGTTCACTACTTGCAAAAGTATGCAAATCCTCTATTCACCCAGTGGCAAGAGAAATGAACGGAAGTTCCGCAAGACAAAGCAAGGCACTGTGAAAGTTCCGAAAGTTTATTGACTCCTTTTGATCAGAAAGTCAATTAACCTATGCACATTACAGCTGTCTCTACCGTAACTATCAAAAATGTGCGGGAACCACGAGAAACTATTTCCGCACAAAGACCTTCTAAAAGCCATTCTTGAAGCAGTTAGAGGCTATGATTCAGTTCCGAGCTCCTGTACGAGTAGTCCTTAAGAATACGGTAGATTTGACAATCTAACCTCCTCCAAAGTTTACAAAAAACATTTTTTGCACATCTTCACACAAAACTGACAGCTGCTCCTCCGACAAAAGTGCCGCATGTTTGCCGTCCTTTCAGCTTTTTAGCCCTCATCTGCTATTTGTCCACTTTTTCATCCTACCTCCCCCTCTGACACTTGAACTTTTGAACTTACTGCTGCATTATTGGGCTACATCGCTTCTTCGCTTCAAGGCACAATTCCATACATGGCAGGATTGGTTTGTCATAGTTTTCTTGGCAAATAGGGGTGTAGAGAGTGCAGAGAAAAAATCGAAGATGTTCATAGCAGCCGTACTGGAATAAAAATTTTGATTGGAGGCAGAGTTGTGGGCGGAGTTTGACACAATATGGGCGGAGTTTGTCCACTTACCTCAACTAATGGGAAAAATTGATGAACTTCTAGTCCAGCTTCTTCTTGCTTCTCATGACCATAACTGTTAGGGAATGATGTCATATTATAGCCTACACCCTTACAAAGGGGAATAGTGATGGGCTGACATCCTTTGGCGAAAGCGGCTGATACAGCTCCAAGAAGCAGAAATATGAAAATTTGCAGCATCACCAGCTGCTTTGGATTTGATTCTGAAAAATCAAAAATAACTTCAGAAAGTGATAATTTACGAGCGAAAAAAGCGAAAAATACTGAACATTTTCGGCAAGGAAAGATCGACGAATGACCTGACGAAAGTAATAACAGAGCGATTTAGGATCTAGAAGAAAAGGTCGAAAGAGACGAAGGAGAAGCCGACACAGAGCGGATGCGGCTGCTAAACGACGACTCGGAAGGTGTCGGATTTCAAATGACAGCACAAAACGACGACCCGCACAACCGATTGCTACTGGCTACAGCTAGCTCCTAGTCTTGAAGGCTTAGGGCTGAGGTCAAAGTCAAGAATTATCATACTAGAAGTTTGAATGTGAGAAAAATTTTCGTGGAAAGGAGTACGGGGTAAATTCTTAAAAAATCCTGGCAAATAATCGAGGCAATATCGAAGGAAACATAAGACGAGTGGAAAAATGGAAATGAGAAAAATATTCTAAATTTCACGATGACAAATACTTGATACGACTTTGCAACAGTGCAGGATAGAATACATAAGATAGGATTTGAAATCCCCCTCCCCCCCCCCTAGAAGGGTAGCGTTTAACATACCGATAAGAATGAGTGATAGTTCTACACCTAGAGAGAAGTGGCGGTCCCGGGACTTCTGTCCGAGGGAGGGGGAGGGGGGCGGCAGAAATTTCTTTTCGGCCACGCAGTTCGAGAAAGTTTTTTGGGGTGCCTCTCAAATCTTTTGCGGGCCCACGACCCCTAAAAATCAGATAGAGGAAAAGTTTTCAAAAGGTTAATTTGGATTTTCTAGAAATTTTCAAAAATGAATCTAATTATTCAAGAGAATGAACAGTTATTTGCACAATTCTTTAACCCACGCAAGCAAATTTCAAAAATTTCGGGACCTATTCTCGGGGGGGGGGGGGGGAGGGGGGGGGAGGGGTGGGGTGCTCCGGTCCCCCACTGCTAGAGAGATGATTTTTCTCATAATTTGGTAAAAAGTCGATTTCTTTCAACCTTATTTAATTTTTTATCTTTTATAGCCGTGAGGGTTATTAGTATCTAATTTTATTAATATTAACTCAATCATGATCTAAGCAAGCTATTTTCCGTCTTTATACATCTGTACAGAAATTTTTGCAATTCTAGAAATATGGGAAAAACATTACATGTCATAAATTTCATTACGGAGATAGAAGAAATAAATCTTTACCATGACCATCTTATAATTTCCTGCAATAATTTTTGTCAAATTCACACTGCAAGAACTTATAATTTTTGTCCAAAAAATTAAAATCTGGTTTTGGTTGAGAAATTTTTGGATTCTTGGTGCTTGTAAAGACTCCTGTCCTATTCAAACGCAAGCAAGTACTGCGATCAAAACATTTCGAAGCTCAATCTGAAATGGACATCAAAGGCCCCTCCCCCTCCTTTCACTAGCTTAATTTATTTTACTAGATATTGTTCAAAAATAGCTATTCTGCTATGGAAAAGCTCCAGAGAGTCCGGGAAGCGCTTGAGGACCGCCGTGACATCAATATTGACAGGAAACACGAGAGGAGCAAGGTGCGAGCTGATCACAAAAATTGGGCTGATCAGCTGCTCGTCGACAAATAGAAAATGATACTGGAGTGGTTCATTGAAGGGGCGGAGAGGGAGCAAAATAATTAGGCAGAAAATGAAAATTGTAAAAATTCGCTGGCACCAGTGAAATTCATGGATTTATCTTTGTGCCCAAGCACAATACCGCTTACAGAATGTGCAAAATTTCCGTGAATGTTGCGATATTCCGGAAATTCCGCGGAAGTTTTCGACATTCCCGGAATTCAAAAATTCATAGAGATTTTACACATTCTTTGAGCGCTATATATCAGAATTTAAATCAGTGGCATTTTTTGACATGAAAATTTGTAAATTATTTGCTAGATCAAGGTGCTTTAACATTACGTTTGGCTCACTTACCGAAACTGGTAGAGGAAATTTTTTCGGATAGCCACAAAAAAAGAACTATAGGTAAGGTCAACCACCACTCGGGTAGTGAGGTTACTCAGTGTAATTAGTAGGAAACTACCGACCTCAGTGAAGAAACAATAGAAGGTGGTTGGACCATCACCGACGACTAGGCCACACCTTACACCTTATTTGGCGCTAATTACCTGTAGAATACGTGGTCCGAGGGAAAATCTCACACTGACAAATACCGTCAGTGACAGCACCCCGGGTAAGATGTGATTTTCAGCAACTACTCAGGCCATTGACATAGATGATAATGACAGCAGATCAAATGGATAACCTGAAGAGGTCCTGAAAACGTTGTGGCTAGAAATCCTTGAAGATTAGTGCTTTCATGGGAACTAAGAGGTGTGTTGAGTGGTTTTGAGTCAAAAAGATCGTCCACAAGGCTTGAGAAAGATCTTTTTGCAAAAGGTCTGCGTAACAAACTGGTTCTGAATAGTTTCGAAATGTAAATTGGCATGCTTCTATGCTCCAGAAGTTGTCCGACGTCTTTTGTACAAGAGACAAACTCATTGAGGCAAAAAATCATACTTAATCGGCAACTTGCAAATGATAATAAAGTTCCAAATGTATTTTTTAGTGTTTACAAAAACCTGATCTTTCTTCCTTTCCGACTTTATACCCATTTTATAAACCCGTTAAGACTACGCGCCACTTTTAAGAATAGTTGAAGTACTTTTCCGACCACTGCATGTTTGAAAATGCTAATTTATATTCATAATGCAATTCTTGAAAAAAAAAGGGTCGTTTTGCAGTCTGCTTTGGAATTTCTAACAGACTTCTATACTTCCTTGAGATTGTTATTTAATTATTAATGAAATGAGGTAGCAAAAGGGTGGGAAGGGGAAGGAAAGTGAGGAGGAGGAAAACAGAAAGAAGGATTCCTGGGAAAAGTTTACACACCTTCGTCGATCTTCAAGATACAGAACTTCGCATGCACAAAAACATAAATGTTTGAATTCTTGAATTTACTCTTGGTTTATTTTCATTTCTCAAGCACTTCTTAGTTTTCAAAGAGATATTGATGTAAAAAAATGAGCAGTCTAACTTACGGTAAAATTTGCGCTATCACAACTGCTGAGATTAGGGAGATAATGCCTAAATCTTTCCTCCGATAAACTTTAGTTCTTGTATTTGTGCAATATACTTAGTCAGCAAAGATTTCTACAGACACAGAAAGCTTCAGGTATCTTAAAATTTTATGAATGTCGAACAAACTCCCTTTCATAAAAGTCGGAATGTAAGTTAATCAAGACTAGCAGCCTCACGGCAACTAATAACGTATGATTCTAAGTTAGGAAAGCTGTGGCTGCAGCAAAGCGTTTTTTGCAGCTACAAAAACCTTTCACATAGCTGTCAATCTAGAAATTGAATAGAATGTTGGAATTTTAATGAAAATTAGGCAAAATGAGAAATGTGCAGAGCTTTTTATAGTCAGACAGGGCTTGCAGCACTTTCAATAATTAGGTTTGTCGGTTTTTTATTCTTGGGTGTGACATAGAGAAGCTTATTTGTATGATTACTGCTCGCAGGTGACAAGGAGGAGGAGGAGGGAAAAGATAGGTAAGGAAAAAAACCGAAGTTTTTGTCAAGGAAAAGTTGTCTCAAAAATTCAAATTGACCCAGTTAGGACCCGGGACCATTCATAATAGATATGCCATAACAAGCGGACGGGGAGGGGGGGGGGGAGAGGGAAGGGGAGGTGGACAAAAAAATAATTAGGTCCGCACTAACCCTTTTCGACAAAGCCTTCATCTCAAATGCAAGTTAACAAGGTTCAAAACAGAGACCATTCATTTCGAAGTACCATGGAACGAATGGCCAACGAATCTTGCAAAAAATAGAGGGAGGGGTGAAGGGGAGGAGGTAAGCAGTTGAATCTCCTCCAAGGAAGAAACTCAAAAATTTGAACTGACCCGGTAAGAAACTGAGACCATTTACATTGATACCTTAGAAGGAATGCTTTATGAGTTAGCAAAGAGTTAAAGAATTTGGGGGGGGGAGTAAGAAATATGGAAAAAGTGACAGTTTTGACACTGAATTTGACATTGCAGTTTATGGAATTTTGAAGGAATGGAAGGGGCGGGAAGAGGAAAGGAAAATGTGTTAAAAAGCAAAAATTTTGTTTTGCGCTGACGTTGCACATTTGAAGTTTAAGTGATGGAGTGAGGGAGGGGGGGGGGAGGAAGGAGGGAGATAGGATGGATGTAACCTCATCACAAAAAACTTGGCTCAAAATTTTACGGATGACTTTTTAGGATTTCGAGGTTGGTCTCATCAAAAATTTAAAAATGCCAAAATAATAACTGGTTTTCCCTCCCCCCCCCCCTCCCTATCTTCCCACCTTTATGAAAGTTAAACTTATGAGGGCACAAAGCAGCTCCGTACAAACTCATCCACGGAAGCGGGACATGACGACAACTAAAGATATTAAGCTACACAGCTCAAGAGGTGCTTGACGCGTCCGCCCGCCAAGAGTACGGGAACTTCTTCGGCTTGACGGAAAAACTCGCGAAAGCGTTGAAATAACCTCATCTTGGCTAAACTTAGTGACACTTGACACTGTAGCGATAAGTTTAGCCGCGTTGGGTCAAAGCACAGCAGGAATTGCGTCAGATCACTTGAAATGCGCTAAGGGGGAAGTAGACGCCAAGGGAGGGAGATGCGCCTGCTCGGGACTACTACTACGGTAGCAGTAAAGTCTGGGATATAGCGTGAATGTCAAGTGGGCGTGGCTGGAGCTTCCGAGATTCTCAGTAAATAAACATAACCTCTGTCTATTGTTCTCGTCCCGGGAGTAAATGTACACCGTGCGTGTGTGTGTTATTAGTGGGTGTGAACGAACAAGTGCGTTACGCAAATATGCGTACTATACATCTATTGTGTAGTGGTGCTGTGACATCGACATATGACAAGGAAGGGTCATCCGCCATGGGAGGGGTTTGGCAAAAATTCAAAATTGTAACGGAGGAAAATTGGGTTTCACTTATTTATGCCGGAATTTTTTTTCAAAACCGCAGACTTGCCTCGAAAATTTTTTGAAAGAAAGCCCTGTCCATCCAATATTCTTATCAAATCTCTGTCTTAATTGAGATTCAAGCAGATTTGCACCAAGACAGTCCAAAATGACTCTCTTGTTATGTATCATCCAGAAATGATAGTCTGCAATATCACTGAAAAAAATTTTTGCCGCCCCCCCCCCCGGACCGAAATCCCGGAACCGCCAATTAAGACTGCTCCTCATCTTGATTCAAATACAATATTAAAAAATCGTGAATTGACAAGCTACCCCCAAAATCAATACTCTAAGTGAGTTGGTTCCAAAAATAATTCTATGGGAAACGGTAGCATAATTAGTGCACACTTTAATTCGTTTCAGTGAAAGAAAGCCGAGCCAAACTTTACACCATGACAAGCCGATTCGTTTAATTAATTAGTGAATTGTGCATTTCTATTTGTAGTTGATTTTGTGTAAATATCAAACGCACTCATTGGAGAAAAATAATTATCCATTCCTATGACGACTCGCTCGTTACCGTATCATATTCGATTTGTGATTTAGAGTAAAAATATCACAGCGTGCGTAAGAAGATGAGTTAAAGTCGTAGTCAATCGTAATACCTACATTATAGGCTCGAATCGAATTATATTAATAGTTTTTGTCTCCTCTGCATTTGGTGCATGTCCTTCTGTATCATAAGCCTGATAAATAAAAAGGCCTATGCCTTGCCGCAAAAGGTTTTTATAGAAAGCACAGTTTTTCTTCCATACTTCTCAAAAAAACGTTTCTTACATTTTTGTAATCACTCAAATGAGCTAGACGCTGTGCTGATCTTCTTCTGATGGTAAAAAAGTTATGATAATAGAAAAGCGCATTACGAAAGTGAACGATGCGCAAAATGTCCATTCTATAATGAATAAGCCCATTTGAGAATGGTATGTGTTCATTATGAAAAGAGACGTGTCAGTGATGTGCAGAAAATTCTAGATTAGGTGGGTGCCTCAGACAAAATAAAAAACAAATTTCAAATAAGTTCAGCTACATGAAAGTAGTAATAAGAGTTGGTAGGATCTGCGAAAGCTTGCAAAAATTTCCTAAAATGTTCTAGAAAATGCAAAAAAACTTGCAAGTCTCAAAATTACGAAATTCTCCACTCTAGTGCTTTGAGAAAGTAAAAAAGAAAGAGCACGAAATTTTTTAAACAA